CCATCCCCGCCAGCCGAGGGCCAACCAGTCTCTGATACAACGATTTCCAAAGAACCGCCTCCAGCCTTCTCTAATGCTGAGTAAGTCGCATCCAAGAGTGCATCAAACAGGTTTTGATACCCTAGCTGCCCATCATTCACTACAACTGAGGGAGATGTAAAAAGAGCATACTCAAGTTGAATATCCTTGCGATTGCCAATGTAACTGAAATACGGGTACATGTTAAAGAGTAACGGAGATTTGTTTCGCACTAAGAAGCTGATGATTGGATCCAGAAATGGACGATAGTCTTGCCCGAATGAACCCTCTGATGGAGGGAAGGATTTTTCAAGAATTACAGGGTGAACCGCAGTGGAGACTTTGATTTTGTTTGCAAGACCAGCCTTAGAAATTGCATTTTGAATTTTGTCCATTGCTGGGCCAACAAAGGGTGCTTCTGAGGCTTTTACTTCATTTCCAACCGCAATGTATTTGAAATTGACATTGCTATAGCTTTGGACATTCTTTTGGACCCAATCATCTGCACTGGCTTGGCTAGAAGAAATGTCTGCAAGGCGCTCATTTTCTACACCTAGAATGAGCTCAATTGGGGAGCCTTGGAGGGCTTGGAGTGCGTCAAAGTTAGGAGCATAGAGCCTCATTCTTTGGATGTTGTATTGGTTGTAGAGAGCTATTACTTCTCCTGGTGGAGGTAAGTTGTCTCCAAGTGTTCCATAACAAACACCAATTGCTTCTGCATGATCGGATTCATATATATGTCAGTTTTTCTTATTTTCGCTTTATGAATAGAAATTTTATATAGCATCCATATATGCTGAAAAATTAAGTACATATATACATACAGGAGACAAGCGAAAGCCTTTAGACTATCGCTTTCGCTTGTCTCAGAACAAAACAAAAGTATGCTAAGGCACTACAAACTTGGAAGTCATGCATATACAAGGTATACGTGTATATATATATACTACAATTTAAGAGAAATTTTTGACAAAGTTCGGGTGATGTGCATGTTTTACATTTATATCAAATGAAAAAATAATAATATAATAGAATTAAAGAAACAATTAACAATAATTTAAGTAATAAGAAAAAACACAAAATAATATATTCCCATGTTTTTCTCTCTTCCTATTTCTTGTCTATGTGAAAAAGTAGACAACCTGTTGTGGCAAGGGTAGCCATTAGCAGAGCACAAAGCAGCATTATGGAAACCATGGAAGGGCTTTTGCCAACTACATTTGACTTGGCCATTGTGCAAATTTTTGCAGGTCGAAAGTTGAAGTAAGCTAAGAAGGAAAGAGGCACTGCTTCTCCAAGTTCTGAGGCTCCCTCTTTATAGATGGAGCCACAGACTCAAAGATGCAGTCCATGGTAATTAAAAAATTCCACCAAGAAATTACAAAATTAATTTGGTACAGCTTGCAGAAAACGTTGCATCAATTAGCACGGTCCTGCCCGAAACACACCCTATTGGACTTTTCTTCCACAAAGACAAGTGGTGGAGAATCAACTATATTTGTGTTCATGATGTCTATAGTCTTCTAACCACGTCTAAATTTGTAGGCTCCACTCTCCATCACTAATGTGCGCGTAAACTGTGCAAAATTGAAGCTTTTAACACCATATACTCTCTGCATATAGATGTACAGATTTTGACATGTTCCCTCATAGTATAAGAGTATACGGAGGGCACATAAGGTGTCTATGATTGGATTGGATTGGATAGCTCACTCGATTTAAGATGTATATATTGAAGGAAGAAATTGAGGCAAACTTTCAAATCTTGTACAAATTGAAGGTATTGGGCCAATGATAATCCCCACATACACACCTTATAACTAATCTCTTTTAATGCCCGCACAATGAAAAATCCTTCAATTCTAACTTCAACATAACTTGAATCTTGTGAGTTATCAATTTCAATCCAATTATAAGCACCAAACATGGCCGTAGGGTTTTACGTGTTCATAGTTAGTGTTTATGTGTTTTATGTATATAGCTGTAGAGTGTTATTTGTTGGGTGAGGATGCATTAATTGTGGACCAAAACTGATAACAAAAATTTCTGAAATAGATCTAACAGTCAAGCAGGCCATGATTATTAGTAATACAAATAAGAAAGAAAAACTCTAAGCACTATAAGTTGCATTGACTGACTTCATAGACTTGACTTACTGGTCCAGGAGTATATATGTATGTTGCTCCTTTCTTACGTTTAAATGACTTGAAATATTGAAATTGATCGCCAACCACCATCTGATGGCTCATTTGGCATTTTAGGCGACAATTACGGCTAATTAGCCTATTGATTTTTAATAGCTAGTTAGGCTTCTTGCCTGTGGATTTTGCCACTGGTAGCTGCAATCATCATCCTATTTTCCTTGGGCTCTTGCCTTAGATCGGTAAAGCTTAGTCTGTCTAGCCCAGTGAAAAAATGACATTGACTTACAGACCAGAAGTCTCAGGTTCGAACCCCAATAGCATCTTAGTTGTGTGTGCTTGAGAAAAGCCATTTCTCTATAATTTAGACCATCGTTTTTATTCAAAAAATAATAATAATAACAAAAATAAAGCTTGGCTTGTGGACAATTTTTTTTTTCAAAAGTAAAACATAAAAGTATATATACATAAAACTTGCCCTGGTGCATTGTGAATCGAAGAATATTCCACCAGGTCCTGTGGGTTTAGGAGACCACAGACATCATGAACACATAGAGGTGGACCCAAAAATAAAATTAAAAAATAGTGGGAAATAGAAAGAGTACCTCTAGTCGTTGAGCCAAAATTAAAAAAAATTAAAAGAAATACGGTTATTATAAAGCATTAGGATTTTGCAACACAAGTCTAACCGTTGCATTGTCTCCAAATCTAACCGAAGGCAAGGGGACCTCGCTTTGATATGAAAGCCTCTTTTTAGGACACAATTCTTGTCCATATTTACGTAGTTTAATTTAACTTTTATATATATTGAGTTTTCAATGTAAAATTACAAATTCGAGGTTAATATTATTGACATGTCGAATTAGATTAGATCTATAAAAGAAAAGAAATTAGAAGGATCCCGGTTTTTGCCTCACTCCTCATTTGATATGGACAGAATTTGGAGGGCAAAACCTTTTAGAATTTAGAAACCACGGATGAACCAATTCACAACAATTATCCTTGACAAAACTTTACTCACCTAATAAGAAATCCGACTAACTTTATATAGTTGGGAAAGGATTAAGCCTCTATACATTTGGCCATTTTACTCTCAAGTCTTAACAAGTTGTACAATTGTATGTATCACTTTCTGCTACTCCCCTTATTGCCAATTGGTTTTGGGGTGGAACCTCAACTTCCTTCATGGTATTAGAGCCACGTTGCCCACGTGTGAAAGCCCAACGGTCATACGTGCTCCACGTCACCCAAAATGTGTTGTCCACGTGTTAGGCTTGAAAATTTGTCACACGTGCGGGGGTATGTGAGAATGTGAAGGTAAAGAGTCCCACATTGGAAAGTTGAGAAACCTAGTAAGGGCTTATAAGGAGTTGAGCTACTCCTCCCATTGCCAATTAGTTTTGAGGTGGAACCTCAACTTCTTTCATGGTATTAGAGCCACGTTGCCCACGTGTGAAAGCCCAACGGTCACACGTGCTCCACATCACCCAAAATGTGTTGTCCATGTGTTAGGCTTGAAAATTCACAACACGTGCTGGGACGTGTGAGAATGTGAAATTAAAGAGTCCCACATTGGAAAGTTGAGAAACCTAGCAAAGGCTTATAAGGAGTTGGGCTACTCCCCCCATTGCCAATTGGTTTTGGTGTGGAACCTCAACTTTCTCAATGTTATCAGAGCCACATTGCTCACATGTGAAAGCCTAACGGTCACAAGTGCTCCACGTCACCCAAAATGTGTTGTCCACGTATTATGCTTAAAAATTCGCCACACGTGCAAGGACGTGTGAGAATGTGAAGGTAAAGAATCTCACATTGGAAAGTTGAGAAACCTAGCAAGGGCTTATGGGCTTATAAGAAGTTAGGCTACTCCCCCCATTACCAATTGGTTTTGGAATAGAACTTCAACTTCCTTCAAGAAGACACTATAGATCTTGAGAGGATCCTCCTTGTAATTAATTTTTGAGATATTTAGTGATATACCCATTCTTGGCACTAATATTATAAATAAACCCTACACAATTGAATTTCTATAAACATACCCAAAAAATGACAACTGGCCTTATTAAATTTAATATTGATTATTAAATTACTTTGATGTCCTATTGAGTTTTTTTGGTATTTTTATAAGATTTTGAGGTTGGGTTTGTTTTAAGAAATTGATAGCAGTTTTGTAATTTATAAGAAATTAAAAGCTTTTTTGTTATGTTGTAAATAGACTTTGGGTGTGTCTCTAAAGTCCATTTCATATGGAGTATTTTTATAATTTGGGCCTCTATATTGGGTATAATAGTGAATCTCCCTTAATTTTTGTTTTCAAAACAAAAACTAAAATAAAACTAAAAGATAATACACCAAAGAAGGCATTAAAGATGGACATCGGATGACAGAATTCACTTCGATTTTATATCAGAAAATGGGTGTGGGCATGCGCAATGCCTTCAAAATCCGAGATACCTGCAAAGTTTCATCGAGATGTACGCTTCTCATAAACAATGTAGAAAATAAAGTCCAACTCATACATAATCAAGTTTCTATATACACGTACAAATGGACTGTGCTGCAATTTAGTTGTCCGACACACCAGAGCGTGGCTCGATTATACTTGCATATGAATCATGATCACTGCAAGGTCATGGATGATGGAGGGAACTTCCAATGTCAATGGACTGGGTCACATTTAGCCTCCAAATCTTTAATAGAAATGTTACCGCCTAAACAGGAAGGCAATCCATTGCAAATGTCATCACAAAGATCCTTCAAGCAGCATTGTGCCATCGGATGTAGCCCAATTTCAATTTCACATTTGAATAATGCTCTTCACTCGGGATCTCCGTAACCCAACTATCTTTCGAACATCATTTTCCTTAAAATCATAACTGCCTTGTCAAAAAGCGCATCATTTTTTGCCAGATACTGTTCAGCTGCATGTTCAGTACTAAACACCTTTCGTCCTATGAGGTAACTGCTTCCTTCTTTGGCAATGAGACCATGCTCACAAGCCAACTGAAATACCTCAGATTCAAGGCATAAGCCTCTCCCAAACTGTATCCCCAGATCAGCCTTCTTCATCGCAGGTGCTAATTTATTTTTCACCACTTGCACAGAAATCCCAAGACCTGTAACCTATACCAAGATGGAATTTATGATCAAATGAAAGAATAGAATTTCTCAGACGGAAACAGTAAAAAATCTGGCAAGCAAAATTTTTAAGTAAAGAGTAAACTGAAAGATGGAAACTTCAGTTACCATATAAATTGAATATCCATAGTGTTCTGCATCTGTTTATGGAAATGTAAATGCCCCACACACAAAGCACTAAGGAGCTTTTACCACCACTGTCTAAGTAGCTCAACCTAATACTAAGCAATAGAGTTTTTGATACATCTACATAATTGTCAAGTGAAATGCTCGCAAAGTGGCCCTAAACCACATTAACCCGAGTGAGCTGCAAAAGATAGGGTCCGATGGGAGCGTGGTTGCCTGCTTGAGCGCATGTGTTAAATTCAATCAGCCACAGTACTGTTGCACTCCGCCTCAAAACACTCCAGAGACATGCCCACCGACAAATTACTCTCAGATATTCAGTGAAGCATGCCCCAACGCTTACAGCTATGCTTATGATGACAAAAAGGGTACATTTACATGCAATGGTGGACCTAACTACGCCATTACTTTCTGCCCATGATCTAACTATAGAAAGGACAAGATCTTTAATAAAAATAGGACTCGAGACATGATCTTTTATAGTCTGGCTATGTATCAAGCATTTGATCTTCAATAAAGATAGAATTGTCCCCAATTGATAAGGTATCGATATTATTGTCATCCATAATAAACATATTGATATGTTAACGATATACTTTTGTCAACTTCAATATCTATGTGAATATTGACAGTCCGGTATGTGAATATTGACAGTCCGGTATTTAATTAAAGATAGAATTAATATCATGCACAAAGAAATTTTGGAAAATATATTGCACACAGAATTTGTGTGAAATATATATTGCCCCTCTTTCTTTATGTTACAATGACAGAAAATTACGAATGATTTTATGTGAATGCATGGTGTCCATGATGCAATGAGGTTCAGTAGCAAATGATAAGTACAATAACATGTCAAAATGGATAAAAACATCTTCAAATAAATCTACATTTTAAATCGTGTAATCTTCAAATGTGATTCAAAAATTTGATCTTCGTAAAATTATTGAGAATAAATTGCAATTAATGCATTGAACAAGCCATGCCCATGAAAATGGACGTCCATATCTTAATGGAAAAAGCTTGGCTCCTTAAAATTGAGAAGGATCTCCTTATTACCATAGGTTATCCTTGTACTTTTCCGCGACATTGTACTCACACTGAATGTTAAAAATTCGATGGAGGACAATTATTACATTCAGTTCGATGGCTAGCTAGAAGGAGAGGACAATTATTTTGTCTATAGGGCTGGCAGCTTCTATAGGGCTGGCCTTGCTCAGCTACGCTCAATTATTTTGTCTGCTGACATGTTAACCTACTTCTTTTGCTAATAGGGTATAGCTCAATTGATTGAGCTTTTCCACCTCCACTCATTTGAACTGAGGGTCGAAATTCGCAGGCACTCAATGAATATTTGTATAAATCCCTCTCCCCAAAATGCTTGTACTAAAAATAAATAAATAAAAAATGTAAAATACCTAGTTCCTTCAAATCTATGAGTTGAGGGACAATATATACCTCAAGCTTAACTCTTACTACTACTTTCTTTACCCACGCGGATGGATACACATAGAAACCAGATGGGGAAAACGTCTCAGGTCAAAAAACGGAATTACATCGTTTTCTATGTTTCAATGATACAGTGTTATATATTGCTGCTGTGAATAGTACATTGCAATAAATAATCAATTAATTTTGTAAGTATTCATACGGAACATACGACCCCAAATGAATCCATCTAGAAAGCCGACGAGTGTTTTAACCATTTGCTAAATGACAGCAATTATAGCCAAAGTGGTGGTCATGATAAGTGATACTTCTGGACTTGGACCTGGTGGCTTGACTTAATTGCTGAGAACTGCAAATCATGCATGAAAAGATGCATTGATCGAAAGGCTAGAGGCAAACGCATATGCATGTTGGGGATTCTATAATTATAATTTCTTGGATTTGTTGGGCAACCGTTTGTGTTAGGCTTTTTTAAGGCAAGGTTTTAACTTTTAAGAAGGCCACATTAATGTTATGACTCCTCCGCCATTAGTGATTCTTGCTTAGAAGCTGATGTACTGTTTTGCTGGTTTTCTTAATGAAGTTCTGCTCTTTTGATAAATTAAAAATAAATAAATAAATAAATAAAAACAAGAGGTTGTACACAGAAATTAGACTTCAATTTCGGATTGTCTATTCAAATGTAAATTGAACTAATATAAAGACTTCAAATATTACGTACTATTGTTCAGAAAAGGACTGGAAAATTTCACTTCAATAATCACTAATTTAGCAGAAAAGGCAGCCAAATTAATTTAGCAGAACGAGGACTTCCAAATTTCATGACGCTTGTCTCTGGAAAATTGAGACTTATTAATGTCTTGGAGCCTACGAAGATAGAAGACCAAAAGGACTTGAATCTGCACCACTTGTCTTTGAGGAAGAGAAGTCCAATAAGATGGTTACATACTTATGCAAGTTGTACCAAAACTTTTGTACTTATGCAAGATGACCAATAAAATGTTATCTGGGATATGTATATTTTTAATTTTACAAGCAATATTAATAGATTGAGAATTTGAACACAGGATCTCGAGAACAAAAGTAACTGCACTTAACCATGGATTGAGAATCTGAATACAAAAATATAAAAGTAACTGCACTTAACCACTCAAATTACAAATTGCTTGCAAAATTTATAAAGAAAGGTCATAAAAACATCCTCCGACAAATAATTAAGACCCCTTCTTGGAAGCTGTAAATCTTTTGATCAATCATTTAGTAGAAAAGGCAGCGATAATCATCAAAAAGAATGGTGTCGTGGTCATGAAATAACTACTTGTCGAATTGGATTGTACCTGGGCGGCTTGACTTGATTGCCGACCAGGAGACAAGCGCAAGTCATGCATCATGCACGCTAAAAGGATGCTACTCGGAAAAGATACAATGATAGATGCTAAACTGACCAAAAAGAACGGTTCTTAGTTTGCATTCAATTAAAAGAAAAAAAAAATACTTGACTCTTTACAAATAAATCACAGTCTGTAAGATTTTTGTAATTTTACGGAACTGTAATTTAATACCCAATGAAAACATAATATACTCTATGAAACGAGCAAGGTGTGAAGCCTACTTAAAGACATTTTTGTTTCAATGTAAACCTTCTTAACTTGTATCTTAAATATTTAATTAGTTTATCTTTATTTGGTAAGTATCTAAGCGTTTATTCTTCTCCTAGCCAGGAGCAAGTGCACGCATGGTGAACATTTGTATATAATGTTTAAATTTCTTGGATTTGTTAAGCTTATTAGTATTCCCATATCAAAACAAGACGGCAAGAACCGTGTTATAGATGAAATCGAATTGATTTGCAGAATTTCAATTTAGTACTCTGAACTCTTATGCTTAAGGCTTGTTTGTCCCTACACTCTTAGTTTTAACAATTATATACCCTAAGCTTTTCAATTTTTTGCAATTTGATTCCGATGTTAACCTTACCGTTAATTACTGAGGGACCCACGGACAATTATTTTGAGTTTGCTGCTGATATTCTAATTGAAAATCCCCTCGTATAAATAATTAATTTTCGTAGAATTGTTTGCATATAAAAATTAAGTTATATTTTTCATTTAATTTGCAGGGACCACCCCGAACATTTTTCATTCTGGAGTTTACAAAGGAGACAAGATCAGAAGACCATAACACTTTAAATCTCCACCACTTGTCTTTGTGGAAGATTACTAATATTGCAACAATTTCTCCTAGTTGTACGAAATCTTTTGTAGTTTCTGTGGAATTTTATATTTACCTTGGAAAATTTTCACTAGCCAGTGGAGAGGAAATGCATTTAGCTACTCATTGACTTAGAAAAAAATTATCAGATATTGCACGGAGTGCCTTTGTGAGTCTTTGACTCGATCTATAAAGAGGGCACCTCACAAGTTGTAAAGGCTGTGTCTTTCCTTCATATCTACTTGATTTTCGATCTGATTCGCGCAATGGCCAAGACACATTTAGCTGGCAAAACCCTTTCCATTGTTTCCATAATGCTACTTTTTTGGCTGCTAATGGCAAGCCTTACCACAACTGCTCTCTCTCTCTCTCTCTCTCTCTCTCTCTCTCTCTCTCTGTCCACAAAGTAAAAATTTAGACAGGTTATAATTCCACACATGCTATATATATATGCATGAGAGATGGGAATTATTACTACGCCTAGTCCTATTTTTCTATTTAATATTCGTATTATATATGTATATGCATATTTTTTTTAAATACTTTTGTTTTCTATACGTGTAAAGACTCGGTAAAATACACATTTTTTTAAAATCAAATGTACAATATATGTAGATACAAATTTTTCACGTTTAATACACGTGTTTTTATAAAATTTTCAATAATACATAAAAATTCACGTATTATACACATATTTTTCACAATATATTGAATAAAAATAATATATATTAAAATAATATAAATAAATAATATAAAAATATTATATAGTGGCCAAACTTTTCATTTGTATTTTATAAAAAATTGCTAAATAAAACACGTACATATAATGATATGAATAAACAATACCTTTTAAGCAATAATATGCATGCCCACCAATTCTATATTTTGTTACCAAAATAACCCTAGTACTGCCAAATAATTTGTCATAGCTTCTCCAAATATCAAAGGCTGCAATGCTTATTTCTCAGTGTTAGACTAAAAATTGCAAGGCCATTTCTTCTTCTCTCTCTCTTTTTTTTTTTTTTTTTTTTTTTTTTTGTATGCTATGAAAATAACTAAGTTCATAATTCTTGATACAGGAGCAAAGATTGGTGTTTGTTATGGAACACTTGGAGACAACTTACCTTCCGCACAAGAAGTAATCTCTATGTACAACCAATATAGCATCCAAAAAATGAGGCTCTATGATCCTAACCCACAGGCTCTTCAAGCCCTTAGAGGCTCCAACATTGAGCTCATGCTCGATGTACCCAACGAAGGCCTTAAAGACATCTCTTCTAGCCAAGCCAGTGCAGATTCTTGGATCCAAAGTAATGTCATAACCTACGGAAATGTCAATTTCAAATACATCGTGGTTGGGAACGAAATAGATCCCAAAGGTCCATTCGCTCCGTTTGTTGCTTCTGCAATGGAAAATATTCAAAAAGCAGTTTCTGCCGCCGGTCTTGCAACCCAAATTAAAGTCTCCACCGCAGTTTACACAGCGATTCTCAAAGAATCCTTCCCGCCGTCAAAAGCCTTCTTCAACCCTGAATATCGACAGTTTCTTGATCCTATCATTGCTTTTTTGGTGGCCAATCAATCTCCATTTCTTGTTAATGTGTACCCATATTTTAGTTACGTTCAAAATCGTCAGACTATGGGTATGGTCAGCTTGGATATCAAAATCTGTTTGATGCAATTTTGAATGCAGTTTATGAAGCATTAGAGAAAGCCGGAGGCGGTTCTTTGAAACTTGTCGTATCGGAAAGTGGTTGGCCCTCGGCAGGTGGCGATGGCGAAGTGACCACAAAAGAGAACTCGAGAACTTACAACTCAAATTTGGTTAAGCATGTGAAGGGCGGGACTCCAAAGAGACCTGGAAGCCCTGTAGAGACTTATATCTTTGCCATGTTTAATGAGGATAACAAAACAGGGCCGGAGATTGAGAAACACTGGGGACTCTTTTTCCCCGACAAAACTCCGAAATATTCCATTGATTTCGATTAAGAATGTGAACTCAGTGTATCCTGAGATCAAGGGAGCTTTCGTATGCAATTTAACCATAATTAAAGATTACTTGCAGCCCTAGTAAAGGCAACCGCAAGACTTTATGTACCTGTCTAAAAATAAATGTCAATACGATGGCAGGTTGTAAGGATAGCCGTTTTACCATATTTGATTACTTTTTATACCACAAGTTTACATATTGCAGTATTTTATCTTAAATGGGTTTGAATTCGGAATTTTTCCAACATTAGGAGAGAAAATACAAACTAAACTAAGAGCTACTTCGTTTCTATTGCAATAATTAAAAATGAATTTGCATATGCAAGTAGCAACTAAACCCAAAGATACAATGACAGCTGTAAATTGTAATGCGTCAAACTACCGAAGAATACATAGAACTATATATAATTCGTACAATCTCTTATTATATGAGCTGTTTTTTTTGGGTACAAGGGTACTTGTGACAAAAGAAAATCTTTTATTATTGGCAACCACAACTTCCCTTTCTATTGTCACAATAAACTTATCTACTTGTGACAAAAGAGAACGCGAGAACTTACAACTCAAATTTGGTCATGTGAAGGGCGGGACTCCGAAGAGACCTGGAAGCCTTGTGGATACTTTTATCTTTGCCATGTTTAATGAGGATAAAAAAAACAGGGCCGGAGACTGAGAAACACAGGGGCTCTTTTTCCCCAACAAAACTGTTATAAAAAATATATTAGTTTGTGGTATGTGATATTCTGCTAGTGCATTGTGGTTGTTCAAACGTGAAGGAAGAGTGACCTTTTATAGGCACCCAAGAACATGTAACCTTCACCACAATAAATAAGCCATAAAATTAAGACATTCAATATAGAAATAATACCTGAAAATTAAATATGTATAACCCCACAATAAATAAAATAAAACAATCAAAAAAATTAAATAAAAATGGTTAAATTTTTAAAACCTTTTTAAAATTCCAACAAACTCCTAAATATTCCATTGATTTCAATTAAGAATGTGAACTCTAGTGTATCCTTAGATCAAGGAGCTTTCGTACGGAATTTAACCATAAATAAAAGATTACTTGCATCCCTAGAAAGGCAATCGCAAGAGTTTATGTATCTGTCCAAAAATAAATGTCAATACAATGGCATGTTGCAAGGATAGCGATTTTACCATATTTGATTACTTTTTATAGCACAAGTTTACGTATTGCAGTATTTTCTTTTAAATAGATTTGAATTCAGAATCTTTTTCAATATTGTGAGAGAAATGCTAAAATATGCGAACTATGAGATAATATTTGTTTGTGGGAATTTTCAGTGTATTCTTCTCCTTGTAGGAGGTCATATTTATAATTCAACGAAAACTGAATGGACAAGTAAATAATAAATTCCTATTTCTATTTACAGTAGGAAATCATGAATTAAAGTAAATTAAATATAATTATAATAGGAATCCTTGGTGTGTAAGGAAAGAAAGTCAATGGTCCACAAGTCACACCAACACTCCCCCTCACGTTGGTGCATAGATGTCACCAATGCCTAACTGGTCCAGTGAATTGTGGAACGCTTTACTAGAAATTGCTTTTGTCCAAATATCCGCCAATTGATCCTCGGACTTTACGAAAAGAAAATGAATCACTTTAGCTTCGAGCTTCTATTTTATATAGGGTCAATCTACCTCAACATGTTTGGTGCGGTCATGTTGAATTAGATTCTATGCAATAGCTATTGCAACCTTGTTGTCACAAAAGAGATTCATTACAGATGTAGGTCTATACCCAAGTTCAGTAAGCAACCTCTTTAACCAAATGAGTTCGCAAATTCCTTTGGTCATACCTTTGAACTCGGCTTCTGCACTGGATAAGGTGACCATCTTCTGTTTCTTGCTTCTCCATGTAACCAAATTACCTCCCACGAATGTGAAGTAACCGGATGTGGATTTTCTATCTATTATATTTCCTGCCCAATCTGCATATGTGTAACTATCAATATTTAGATGACCATGTTTTGAGAACATAAGTCCTTTTTTGGGTGTAGACTTCAAATATCTAAGTATCCGAATAATTGCATTCATGTGGTTTTCACTTGGAGAATGCATAAATTAACCAACGACGCTCACCACATAAGCAATGTCTAGCCTATTATGAGACAAGTAGATCAATCTTCCCTCTAACCTTTGGTATCTTTCTTTGTTAGTTGGAATTTGATCCAGGTATTCTCCAATATGATGATTCTGAACAATAGTCTATAGGTTTGCAATCTAGAATTCCTTTTAGAGAGAAATATGCCTCATTATGATCGAGCCACCTCAATCCCCAAGAAATATTTGAGTCCACCTAGATTCTTCATCTCAAATTTAGTAGCCAAATAGTCTTGTAGCTGAGATATTTCATGTTTATCATTCCCAGTAATAATCATGTCGTCAACATAGATTATTAAAGTTGTTATTACCTTCCCTTTTTGATGTTTCAAGAACAAAGTATGATCTGAGTTACTCAGTTTGAAACCATTATTCTTCATTGTCATGGTGAACCATCCAAACCATGCATGTGGTGACTGTTTCAGTCCATACAACGCCTTTCCTAATTTTCATATTGTTTCAGTCTAAGTAGTATTATATCCAGGAGGAATGTCCATATACACCTCCTCCGTGAGTTCTCCATGTAGTAAAACATTCTTTACATCTCAAACTGGTGTAGTGGCCAGTCTAAATTAGCTGCGAGAAATAATAAGACTCTGACTGTGTTCAATTTTGCAACTAGGGCAAAGGTTTCTTCATAATATATGCCATAAGTTCGTGTGTACCCTTTTGCCACAAGTCTTGCCTTGTATCGCTCGATAGATCCATTAGCGTTGTGTTTTATGGTAAACACTCATCGACATCCGAGAGTCTTTTTTCCTTGTGGTAAAGTTTCCAGTGTCAAAGTCTGATTCTTCTCAAGAGATTTTTTATAGCTTGAACCCACCTAGGATCTTTAAACGCTTTAGCAACCTTAGTTAAGATATCAATAGCAGACAACTGATGCACAAAGGCCTTAAGTGGTTCAGACAACTTTTCAGTGGATACATGATTCGTAATTGGATACTTTGAAGTCTTGCCAATATCAGGTGAATAACGATTCGGTGGCTTTCCACGATTCTGCTTGAAAGGTAATTGGTATCCAAAAGATTTATGCTCTAAATTCACAAGTGTAGTAGGAGTAGTTACCTCAAGGATATTCTTAGGGGATTGATCTGTTGGTACTGTTGAGTTAGATGGATGGTCTTCATCTTTGTTATGTATTGTCTGTAGGTGTGGGACTCGGATCAGAAATATTTTTGTAGGGATCAGGTGGGTCAGACAATTGATCGTTATGAATGGGCGATTGATCGCTTTTCGGCAAAGAGCTCATGCTCCAAACTCGGAATTATCGATCATTTCTGTACATAGGAGAATTTTTTCATTTTCCAAGTTGCTCCAATTCTGCTCTTCACTTCGTATGTCCCCTTGAAGTGTAGAATTGGATGATAGGTCATGGAAGAACAGCTCAGATTCTAGAAAGGTCAGATCCAAAGTGACATATGTACGTCGGGTAGGAGGGTGATAACAGCGGTAGCCATTTTGATAAATGGCATAACCCAAAAAACACAACGAAGTGCACAGGGATCAAGTTTGCTACGTTGATTTTTGTGGAGATGAATGAAGGCCACACATCTAAAGATTTGGGGTATGAGTACCAAAACAGAAAGGAGGGATCTGTGTTGCACAAGCACTTGTAAGGGAGTTTTAAAGGTCAATACACCAGAAGGCATTCGGTTGATCAGGTGAACTGCGGTGACAACAGCATTATCCCATGATGGCGAGGAACATGAGCGCCAATTAGAACTGCTCTGGTGGTTTCAAGAAGATGTCGATTCTTTCATTTAGCAACACCATTTTGTTGTGGTGTCTGAGGACAGATCATCTAATGGATAATTCTATGTTGTTGGAAGTAAGCCTGAAAGTCATGATTGGAAAATTTTCCACCATTTCTGAGTGAAGAATCTGGATTTGAGCATTGAACTAAATTTTCATATGTGTTTGGAAGGATTGAAAACGGGAAAACACTTCATTTTTATTCTTCAGCAAATAAAGTCATGTCATACGTGTACAATCATCTATGAATGTGACAAACCACTGAACACCAGAAGAAGTAGTGATAGGTGAAGGTCCCCAAACATCAGAGTACATTAACGTAAACGGAGTAGTACACTTTTTCGTACTCAATGGATAGGGCACACGGTGACTCTTAGCCAAAATACAAGTATCACATGTGAAGTCGGAGTCCTTGAAACTTGAGAATAAATCTGGTATAAAATGTTTCATATAACTAAAAGACGGATGTCCCAATAAACAGTGCCACAACCAGATTTTCTTTTGATTGCTATCAAAGGGATGTGTCACACTGTTAGCCATGCTGGGACTGAAGTAATCTACATAATATAGCCCCACTTTCTTAGTACCACGACCAAGAATCTCTTTAGTGTGAATATCCTGAAGCAAACAAAAACTCGGGTAAATGAGTATACAACAACTCAATTGTTTAGTAAGCTGACTAACTGACAACAATTTATTGGATAAAGACGGAACAAGTAAAATACTAGACAGTGAGAGAGAGAATGAGAGTGCAACAGTGCCAACCCCTGTCACATGATAAGTAACTCCATTGGCGTTAGCAATACAAGTTCATCGAGGCTGGGTAGTATTCAGAAAATCATCAGGATCAAACGTCATATGATCAGTTGCACCGGAATCAATTATCCAGCTCGTGGAATCACTCTTATTCGAAGCATGGAATCCATAACCAGTATCATTACGGGTCGTATTGAGTTTTGTTCGATCTTTGAGAGTGGCCCACCAGTCGGGGTAGTCAGGCAATTTCAAACAAGTCTCATGAAGGTGTCTCAGATCACCACAGTATGCGCAATCTCGTCCATGTGTCGGGATCACTAGTTGGGAAGGCATATTTTGTGCAGCGGAAGATGCATATGATACAAGTTTAGTAGGAATCTGGATTAGGATCTTAGCCTAAGTCGGGGTTGGAAACTAGAGTAAGCAATTCCAAGATCGCCACTCTGATACCATGGTAAAATATGAGAACTATAAGAGAATATTTGTTTGTGGGAATTTTCACTGTATTCTTCTCCTTGTAGGAGGTCATATTTATAATACAACAAAACCTGAATGGGCAAGTAAATAATAAATTCCTATTTCTATTTACAGTAGGAAATCATGAATTAAAGTAAATCAAATATAATTATAATAGGAATCCTTGGTATGTAAGGAAAAAAAGTCAATGGTCCACAAGTTACGCCAACAAAAAATACAACTAAATTAAGAGCTAGTTCGTTTCTATTGAAGTAATTAAAAATGAATTTGCATATGCAAGTAGCAACTAAACCCAAAGATATAATGACAACTGTAAATTGTAATGCGTCAAACTACCAAAGAAGACATACAATTATAATTCGCACAATCTCTTATTAAGACTATTTGATCTATATGAGCTTTTTTTTGGGTACAAGGGTGCTTGTGACCAAATTAAAAATTAAAAATTTGGGCGGCGGGGGGTAGTGTGTGGGGTTACAGGTAACTTGGAAATCTTTTATTGGCAACCACAACATCCCTTTTATTGTCACAATAAACTTACCTTTAGCTAATCAATTGAAACTGATTTGGTATTTAGGCTGTTTTGTTGGGGAGAAGAGCCCCCAATGTTTCTCAAGCTCTGGGGTCTTTCTATTCTCATCAAACATGGCAAAGATGTAAGTTTCTATGGGCCTTCCTGGCCTCCTTGGAGTCCCTTCCTTCACATGTTGAATCAAATTTGATATATAAGTCCTTGCATTATCAATTGTTGTGGCTGTTCCAGCAGCTGATGGCCAACCAGTCTCTGATATAACAACTTTCAAAGACCCTCCACCAGCCTTCTCAAGAGCAGCATAAACACCATCCAACATGGCATCGAAAAGATTACGATAACCAAAGTTCCCATCTTGTACCACAACTGATGGAGCTGTGAAAAGAGCATAATCAAGACGAATGTCTTGAGTGTTGCCACTGTAAGCAAAATAAGGGTACAAGTTAACAAGCAATGGCGATTTGTGGTTCACTAGGAAGCGGATGATGGGATGCAAAAGTGCGTCATACTCAGACTTGAATGAGCCTATCGAAGGAGGAAAGGTCTCTCCAAGTACTCCGGTGTCGATGGCTGTCGAAACTTTAATTTTCTTTGCAAGACCAGCAAGAGAAATTGCCTTTTGAATTTTTCGCATGGCTGGGACGAGAAACTGTGCAAAGGAGTCTGAAGGCTTGACTTCATTTCCTACGGCAATGTACTTGAATTTCACATTGGCATAGTTTCTCACATTGTTCTGGACCCATGCATTTGCGCTGGCTTGGCTTGAGGCAATGTATTGAAGGTTTTCATTTGGTACCCCTAGCAAGAGCTTGATATTGGAGCCTCGAAGGGCTTCTAGAGCGGCTGGGTTTGGATCATAAAGTCGCATTCTTGGGATGTTATTTGTCTTGTAGAGAGCAACAACTTCTGCTTGGGGTGGTAGGTCATCGCCAAGCATTCCATTACATACACCAATTGGAGAACCTACATTGAAAAGGAAATAATATTTTAAATGCGTGGTTGTTGCATGTAACAGTTTGGTCCTTATCTTTTAAAAATACACACACAAAAATGTTGTTATTTGCTGTGCACTGGCTTTCGTTAAATTGGTAGTTAGATTGACAGAGGTGCCAATTATATATGCATACCTGTGTGTTGTTTTGTTGCCAAGCTAGCCACCACCAGCTGCCCAAGTAGAAGTACTACGGAAATCAGAGGAAGGCGTCTGCCAACCGATGACGAATTCGATTTAGTCATGGTCAGAAACATACAATTTTCTAAGAAATATTCTAAGTGTACGTCTCTCAAGGCTGCCTCTTGCTCCTTGATTTATAGAGATGAGAAAGAGATTTGCACCTGCTCAAGATCTCTTTACAGGAGGGTCCAATTTCAACTGTCTATGCTGTTGCAACAACAAGAAATGTCTGTTTTATTCCGTCTTTCGCTGATACATTTTCGTTTTTCTCGTATCTTTTTTGGACTATAATGAGGGCCTTGGCTAATCATGGCAGGGCTGTTTCTTGGTTTGGTGGTGGGATGGGCTCCTGCGTTTAGATTGGGATTTCTGTACAGAGATTTGTTATGTGTCATAACTATCGTCTTAGTTAAACTTTCACCATGAGGCCAAGCCCGGTGGGTAGTTTTGTTTTCTGGTTCTCCTGGCGTTTTTTTCCGTTCATTTAATAAATTTAATTAAATATGTTTTAATTCTTTTAACCAAAAGTTTCTAAAAGCCAAACAGAAAATACGAGACGGAAGAGAAGCTGTTGAGAGATATGCGGTGGCAAAGGAGGGGTTGTACACTCTCTCTCACGTCCCAATGGAGATAAGAAAACCCACTAAACCCCTTTTCGTCGATTTTCATCCAAATATTGATGATTTTATATATAAATTTTTTTTTTCAAAATGACAAAGTTAGTTTTTGAGATTGATTGCATATGCATTCATTGAGGTTATAATTTTTTCATTGGCATAAAGTTTTTTTAATGAAATCATCAATTTTGGACAAAATAAGAAAAGAGGTTTTGTGAAAAATAATCTGAAACCTCAGACAAAGTTCATGTAATTTTTGAACATCAGAAAATTTTGTAAAAAGACCAAAAACTCAAGGTGTTAATGTAAATCTCTTATTTGTAATTGTAAATAGGAAAGTCCAAGTAAACCTAATAAGGACAAGTCAACTATACAACATGGGGCAATACCTAGTATATAATTACGAAAGCAGTGCTGGTTTTTACAAAGAAAATTACAGTTGCCTAAATAGAATGGGTACAGAAAATTGAATGCACTACTACAAAAAGTGAAAAAGACGACCACAAAAACACGACGGTCTACGTGAAAACCGTCGTTGTTTTTTAAAAGACGACGGTTTTATAAAACCGCCGTGTAATAACACATTAGACAACTAAAAAATGGAGTTTCAAATGGCTGTTCCAAAAACACGACGTACTTAATTAAAAAACCGACGTCTTATTGAAATAGGATTTTCAAGAGGTAAAATCATAGCCAACAAATAACGGCGGAAGTTATGAACCGACCGACGTAGAAAGTAAAGACGACGGTTTCAAAAAAAGCCGTCGTTTTTACCCAGAAATTAACACGACCAAGTTTTCGTATAAGGCGACGTAAAATTACAAATAAATCCACGGCGGTAAAATACAAAATACCGCCGTATTAAATTAATGTACAACTACGGCAAAGGTAAATATAACGACGTCTTTCTCGTATTTCTACGACGACATCTTTCAATCTTACCAAGTTGGGGTTTTCATATAACGACGTATTATAGAATTTAACGTCGTATTTGTCCACTTTATACGTCATAAATTATATTTAAACCGTCGTCTGAATAAGAATTTTTTTAACAATTTATTTCTTCGATTTTGTTATCCTACGTCGGTAGATCTACCTAACGACAAGAATTGAAATAACCACGACGGTTTATATAGAAAACCGCCGACATAATCAGATTATTCTGAGATCACAAGGGTTAGGAAATCTTACAAGATGGAACTCTGTTGCTCATTATAATCTTACCAGAAAGACAATATTTTAGAGGTTAATGATGTATGTGTATTTGTGTCTTTGAGATACACAAACGCACATACACATTAACATCCAAAAAATTGCTTCTGAAATTTGACGACGGCAGCCTCAGATTTGCAATCAGAGAGACAATTTTTTGGAAGTTGATGATATGTGTGCGTTTGTGTATCTACACAAACGCACGCACACATCAACATCCAAACAATTGCCTCCTAAAATTTCACGACGGCAGCCACAGATTTGCAATCAGAGAGACAATTTTTTGGAAGTGAATGATGTGTGTGCGTTTGTGTATCTACACAAACGCACACACACATTCACATCCAAACAATTGCCTCCTAAAATTCACGACGGCAGCCACAGATTTGCAATCAGAGAGACAATTTATTGAAAATTGGTGATTTGAATCACATCAGCCACAGATCACATTCAAACAATTGCCTCCCAAGAGATGAGGTGAGACAGAGAAAGGGGCAAGAAGAAGTTGAAACCCTAATCGAATACTAAAACTGAAAGAACCCGTGGAAAAAAACCCTATTTATAATTAAAAAACCAAATCCACGTCGGTTATATTACACATAACGACGTTTAACAAAAAACAATCCTCGTCGGTAACAAATACATTACGTCGTTTTATTCTTACTTAAGACGACAAGAAACGACGACGGTATAACAAAAACAGTCGTTGTTTTATATTTTTATTTGATTTAAATCAGTCACCTAGAAAAGAAACTTTACAAATTCTAGAACATTAATTTCCTCGGGAAAAAAAACTATATCTATAAGGCACTGTTTTTGAAAAATAAACTATAAGAAAAAGGGGAAAAAAATTATATTTATAATAAAAAAATAAAATCCACGTCGGTTATATTACACATAACGACGTTTAAAAACGAATCCACGTCGTCGGAAAAAATAATACGTCGTTTTAGTTTAGTGTTATCCACGTCGGTATATTACAATAAAACGACGTATATTATAAAAATAAACGTCGTAAATTTAAAACAACCGTCGTGTTAAATATTTCTACCATGACGCGAGATATTGAGTTATCGACTTTTATTTAGGAGTTTACTACGGCGGTACCTACAACACTACTGTCGTATTTATGTACCACGTCATAAGTTCAAATTAGCGTCGTAGTTTGTCTATTAATACGTCGTCGTTCTATGTAAACCGCCGTCTTATTACTATGAAACGGTTTGTATACATATACAACTTTTCGTCTACCTGACTTACACATGCACTGTTTCCAAACCCGAGAAAAACATTTCAATCTCCCAGAGAAAACTTTTCGTCTTTTTTCCTTGTCAGAGCACTGTCAGAGTATCTCATCGTCTTCCTCTTGTCTTCGTCGTCGCCTCTGAACTTAAACACCAAAATCCGAGAGAAAGCTTTCATTGCACGCAAAAGGTAAGCTTTCATTTCTCACTATTTTTGTTGCTATTTTGCATGCTCATACTGTTTTTGTTTTGAAAATCTTTTTACCTTTTTTCTGGCGAAAATCATTTTTTTCTTTCCAAGTTTGATAAAATACACAGACAGAGAGGGAAAGTTTCAACTTTGAACATAACTAATTCAACTAAATAAGACGACGGTAGCTTTTTATTTACGTGGTTAAATATGTAGACCACGACGGTTCGTCAGTCGTCCTAGCGTCGTCTTAAAATTGATCTAAGTTGTTTTTAAAATGACGGTCAATTTTTTATTTGCTTGTTTAGTTGCAGGTTTGATTTCTCTGAACCATGGTTTTCGTTTTTCCTAATTTGATAAAATACAGAGACAAAGAAAGTAGGGTTTGGTATCTTATATAGACGACGGTATCTTATTATTGACGCCGTGTGAATGTTCATACCACGACGTTATACTAAGATACCGTCGTCTATAAAAAGATGCCAAAGCTTTTTTTCTTTGTATTTTATCAAATTAGGAAAAACAAAAACCATGTTTCAGAGAAATGAAACCTGCAATCAAACATTCACAAAGAAAGAAAAATGTTTTTGGTTTCTTATAAATACGACGGTAGCTTATTATTCACGTCGTGTGAATATCCATAACACGACGTTATATTAATATTTACGTCGTGTTAATATGAATATCACGACGTCGTGTAAATATCGCCGTAATAAGTTCTTATTACGTCTTATTTAATATTGTTTCGTCGTTGTTTAAACATTTATATTGTTCTTCTTTAATCATTTATTACGTCTGATGTTATGTTATTACGTCGTGTAAAATCTTATCATACGTCGTAGTTTATAAATAACCGTCGTTTGTGTTCTAATTTTTTTCACGAAATATTTTCACTTGCAGGTTTGTTTATTCTGTAACCATGGTTTCTCAAGACCAAAGTAAGTACTCTGGCTCCAAAAAAAATGGAGGTAAGGAGCTTGGAATGGTAACTCCTCAAGACAAGCCCTTGAAGAAGATGAAGTTTGTTTCATCTGCTGAGAAAGAACCAAGCAGCACGACAACAATTTCTGAGGATTCAAAGTCAGGTCGAGGTATGAGCACAATGCCTCGTGTTGTGAAGAGAAAATTGCAGAAAATCAAGCCAGTTGTTGAGTACAATAAAAGGGGGAAAGGATGTGGCCCTGCACATACTGAGATGCAGTCCTACATTGGTGTGTTGGCACGCTCCAGAGTCCCACTTGTGGACAAGAAATGGGCTGACATCCCCAATGATATAAAGGAGCAGATTTGGGAAGCCGTTGACATGGCTTTTGTGGTAGGTCAAGGGGGCAAGACCTCGGTGTTATCTTCTGCTGCCAAGAAATGGAAGGATTTCAAGTCTACACTGACGAGGCATTATATCCTTCCATACATCAAGGAGAGGGAGAAATTAAGCCAACCCCCTGAAGTATATAAATTCATAGAGAAAGCAGAATGGGATGCCTTTGTAGCTTCAAGGTTATCCAAAGACTTTGAGTCTGTGCATTCTCAACATGCACAGATTAGGGAGAAACTTGAGTACAATCATCGATTGTCTCGAAAAGGATATGCTGGTTTGGAGGATCAATTGGAGGAAACCATGCCTGGGGTAGAAATTGATCGATCTACCTTATGGAAGAAAGCTAGACAGGACAAACATGGTAACATCCCGGATCCAAAGGTGGCAGAGAAAGCAAAATTAATTGTAAGCCTACACACTCTGTTTTAAATTTTTATTAAACTGTGTATAATTCTTATTACGTCTTATGTTATATTTTTCCGTCGTGTGAATGATTTTACTACGTCGAAATATTTTAAAAAACGTCGTGAAAGATCTAAATCTGGAATCACAACTCTGTTTTCTGTAATTATAGCATAAGACGTCGGTGGTTAATTTTTTCCGTCGTGTTAATGTTATTACTACGTCGAAATGTTTTCAAAAACGTCGTGAAAGATCTAAATCTGGAATCACAACTCTGTTTTCTGTAATTACAGCATAAGACGTCGGTGGTTTATTTATTGCGTCGTTTTAAACAACTAACCACGTCGGTTTTAATTAACGTCGTTATAAATATATTATAACGTCGATTTCTATATTGGTGCGTCGTGTGAAATTATATAATGCGTCGTTTGTTTATAAATAACCGTCGTGTATTTTCTTGTGCTGACTTTTTTTTATGTCTTTGTTTTAGGATGAATTGCAAAAACAAGTGGCTGAAGGCAGTCTGAGTATAACTGGCAGTAATGATGTGTTGACCTTGGCTTTGGGTCCCGAGCATCCAGGGAGAGTAAGAGGGGTAGGTGCTGGGATTTCCCCTAGGCAATTCTTCAATTTACCTAGACCACAAAGGGTAAAGTTTGCTGATCAATTGAAGGAAAGTGTAAGAATTGTCCTTCAAGAAGAGACTAAGAAGATGGAAGCTAGAACCAAACAATTAGTAGAGGCTGAGAGGGAACATTTACTAAGTCAGCTTTCCCACCTCATCCCCAATTTTGATCCAAGCATGCTTAAACCGAAAACTGCCCCTGTCAAAACCAAGGTCTACAGCAAAGTCCCAGAATCCAATGTCTGATAAAGCAAGCTGTTCTGGGGCTGAAGTGAGATCCCTACATTTAGAGGATGATACTGCCAGAAATGGGGAACAGCAGGAACAAACGGTAACATAACTGAACTTTGAATTCTCTGTTTTTTTTTAACATTAGACGTCGTTATTATGAATAAACCCGTCGTTTTAAAACCATACCACGACGATTTTATAAATAACCCGTCGTGTTTATTTAAATACCACGTCGTATTTAGTTTACTTGTTTTACACGCCATTAGACGTCGTACTTTGTGGCTTTTAGACGACGGTTTTTGTCCTCAACGACGTGATATAAAATTACCACGACGTTTATTATTTACCATCGTTTAATAATTTTAAGACGTCCATAATTCTTACATACCGTCTTATGTTATGCCTTACCACGACGTTTTGGTTTAATTTTTTTACTCTCTGTACAATCTGTCTTATATATATATTTCTTTATTATTTAAAACAGAAATCTGGGGCTTTAGATAATCAAGATGAAGAGAAGAAAGAAGAAAATAAAGATGAACAGAAGATGGGAGAAAAAAAAATGATGAAGGGAAGAAGGAAGAAAAAAAGAGAATAAAGATGAAGGCAAAGAGGAAGACACAAATGTTGAAGAGAAGAAAGAAGAAAAACAAGATGAAGAAAAGCATGACGAGGAGGTATATTCTCATAACTTTGCCTTTTTAATTTGTTTTTCACATTTCAGACGTCGATATTTTTCTTTAAACCGTCGTTTGTTTTAACATTAGACGTCGGAATTTATTTTCTACGACGTAATAAATAATCTAAAACGACGGTATTTAATTACCGTCGTTTAAATTATAATCAGACGACGTTGTTTTAATTTAAACCGTCGTTTTTAATGAATTACCACGTCAATTTATTTTGCTTTATTTCTTTAAACAGGGTGATGAAGTAGTTGATTATTCAAATGTGGAGGTGCCATCTTCCTTACAATCCCTTTGTGGTTATGTGGAAACTACACTAAAGCCACAGGGGAAGATCATGACCTTTCAACATTGAGAAGGAGGTGTTTGGTGCAGATCGAAGTACCTTCGTCTTGCATGAAGATATTACACAGTTGCAGGCATGGAAGAAATTGGGGCTACTGTGGTTGCAGTATATATGAGGTTTGTCCTAATCAAATATCAAACATTATATCATAAGACGTCGGTTGTTTAATTATTGCGTCGTTTTAAATCACTAACCACGTCGTTCTTTTTTACCGTCGTGATAAATTAGTTATCACGTCTGTTTCTATTTCAGTTCGTCGTGTGAAATTGTATAATACGTCGTTTGTGTATAAATAACCGTCGTTTGTTTTATATATTTAGGTGCTTATATGATCTTTTGAGAGAAGCAAATATGTGCAGCATGGTTGGCTTTATCGACCCTGCTCAAGTTAGTGCCAACGCTGGGTCACTAACTGACAGATCACGAATTGTAGCCAGTCGACTTCAGAAAACAGATGGTGAACAGATTTTCATGATGCCTTACAATCCAGGGTTAGTCTCCTTAAATGGATTTTGTTTGTATGATTTTCACTTATAAAACTGTTTAACTAATTCTGTGTCGTTTGAAACATCTAACCACGTCGGTTATTTATTTATACCATCGTTTGAAACAACTAACCACGTCGGTAGTTAATTCTCGTCGTGATAAATTTATAATCACGTCGATGATTAAGTTCTTACGTCGTGTGAAACTATATAATACGTCGGTTTTTATAAATAACCGTCGTTTTTTATTTTATTTTTGTGCAGCCGTCATTGGGTCTTGCTGATTGTGAGGGCAAAGAGGGAAACCGTCTATTTTCTGGATCCTCTGCCTGGAAATCGTGTGGTGGATGAGGAGGGCAAAAACATCGTGAACAGTGCTTTAAAAATTTATAATTCCCACATAGGCAGACCAGGCCGTAAAGCACCAATTTGGAAAACTCTGCCAGGCACACCAAAGCAACCCAGCAGTGTCGAATGCGGGTATTATGTCATGCGCTTCATGAGGGACATCATCATGGATCCTTCCTTGGAGTTTGAGAAGAAGGTAAGAAAAAAATTTCAGAAACATTTTATTTGGTTTTTGTATTATCAACGACGGTCATTTAAAATTACCGTCGTTGAATCGATAGACTACGTCGGTTATAAAAAAAACGTCGTCTGTGACTGAATTTCTTTTTATTTTGTAAAGCTTAATAATCGTTGTTTATGGATTGCAGTTTGCCAAGGGAAAAGATCAAGCGCCATACCCCCAAGCAGCCATTGATGAAGTCAGGAAAGAATGGGCAGAGTTTGTTTGCCTTCATATGGATTAGAGGATTTTTGGAACACTTGATATTTTTATATGTACTAATTTTGTCTATAATATATATAATGTACAAATTTTGTCTATAATATACATCCTTTTTTTCCCTGAAAATTTGCAGAGGTTTTCATATTATAAAAGAAAAAACAATTTGCTGAGGTTTTCATATTATAAAAGAAAAAACAATTTGCTGAGGTTTTCATATTTTACACATATATAATTTATGGTTTTAAAGTTTAGGGTATTACTTTTAACGACGGTGATTGAGTCGTGGAATATTGAGTTTACGTCGTATGGTGAAAAATACGACGTGGTTTCTTTTTAAACGACGTTTTGTTTACCTGTTAGTCGTTTATTATTGTTTACAACGTCGTTAGTTACTTAACCCCGCCGTGGTTTGTTGTTGATATAAGAATATTTTATTATTTTTAATTCAAAATTTTAAAAATAAATTTAAAATAAATTCAAAAAATTCAACTTCAACTCCTATGAAGTCATTGATATATTTTCTTCCCCCTAAACCCCAAAAAAATGCAGTTTGTGTAATGAAAGTTTAAAATGACCAACCAAAATAAAATTGTTTTATGAGTCATAGCATCACTTATATAGTTTGATGGTTTAGGGTTTAGGGTTTGGGGTTTAGGGTTGTTATTTATTAGGGTTTATGGATAAAGTATAATTTTTGGGGTTTAGGGTTTATGCTTGTTATTTATTAGGATGTAAAACCATAAACAATTTTATAAAATTAAATTTTACAAATATATAATTTATGGTTTTAAAGTTTAGGGTATTACTTTTAACGACGGTGATTGAGTCGTGGAATATTGAGTTTACGTCGTATGGTGAAAAATACGACGTGGTTTCTTTTTTAAACGACGTTTTGTTTACCTGTTAGTCGTTTATTATTGTTTACAACGTCGTTAGTTACTTAACCCCGCCGTGGTTTGTTGTTGATATAAGAATATTTTATTATTTTTAATTCAAAATTTTAAAAATAAATTTAAAATAAATTCAAAAAATTCAACTTCAACTCCTATGAAGTCATTGATATATTTTCTTCCCCCTAAACCCCAAAAAAATGCAGTTTGTGTAATGAAAAGTTTAAAATGACCAACCAAAATAAAATTGTTTTATGAGTCATAGCATCACTTATATAGTTTGATGGTTTAGGGTTTAGGGTTTGGGTTTGGGGTTTAGGGTTGTTATTTATTAGGGTTTATGGTTAAAGTATAATTTTTGGGGTTTAGGGTTTATGCTTGTTATTTATTAGGATGTAAAACCATAAACAATTTTATAAAATTAAATTTTACACATATATAATTTATGGTTTTAAAGTTTAGGGTATTACTTTTAACGACGGTGATTGAGTCGTGGAATATTGAGTTTACGTCGTATGGTGAAAAATCCGACGTGGTTTCTTTTTTAAACGACGTTTTGTTTACCTGTTAGTCGTTTATTATTATTTACAACGTCGTTAGTTACTTAACCCCGCCGTGGTTTTTCATAGTTTTAACGCCTTTTTTGATTTTGCGTGGTACATAGTTTTACCACGACGTCCTTAATGTAATAAGCGTCATGTTTAATGTTAAATTTTAACGACGCTTGTATTTTCGGTCGATGTTTTAAAAAGCGCGCTTTCTTAAAATATTCGCGGGACCTAAAATTTTCAGATTTGGCTCTTATTTTTATACTTCTAACCCTGAACCCTAAAATTTTCTGATTTCGCGCAACATAACATTTCGCTCTCTCACTTCATCTCTAATTCAAAGTTGGGCCAGGCTGTGTCAAATCCAATTTGGTCATAATCTGTGAGCTCTGCCAACCTGTAAGTACAAACCCTCTCTTCCCCTTGTAAATTCATTGAATGATATATTACGGTGTTTTGTTAAAGGGTTTTAGGTATATGTTTTGCGATCTGTTAATAATGTTGTTGGAGGTATGGGTTCATGGATTTTCTGTTTAATGTTTTCTTGATCACTCTCTGTTATGTTGAATATGGAATGGATTTCATTTTGTCGGATCTTTTAATCACTCTCTGTTATGTTGAATTGGGAATGGATTTATTGTTTTCATGCTTAGTATATGTTGGTTTCATGTATATGTTGGTTTCTTGCTTGGTTTCATGTCTATGTTGTGTTCTTAATAGGGTTTTGGGATCTTGAAAATAAACTGGATATCGACGCGTTTTCAGGCATACGACGACGGTTTTTACTTTAAACCGTCGTTTTTATTACTTATACACGACGGTGTTATTTAACTACCGTCGTGGTTACAATTAGACGACGTAAAATCCGTCGTCTATATATGTCAAATACGTCTGTTTTTGTTTAAAAAACCGTCGTCTCTGTTGTATATTACTTGCTATTAGACTTTATGTAATCTGCTATAGTGATGGTCATTGCTTGTCTTTTCACTTTATTATATATAATAGGGTATAGTGTCGGAGATGGATAAGTCATGGATGCACTCGGATAGAAGATCGAAGGCATATGAGTTAGGGGTGGAAGCATTTTTGAACTTTTCTGTAGAAAATCTTCTAACTACCACACATATCCGTTGTCCATGTGTTAAATGTGTTAATTTGAAATTGTTTGGGGTTGGAATTATAAGGGATCACTTATACTTTAATGGAGTTGACCAAAGCTATAAGAATTGGACATTTCACGGAGAACCTTGGGAAGCAGCTACTAATGCTAGTAGAAATGTTGAAGAAGATGATGACCATAGTAGGTACAGTTTTGTGTCTGAAGAAATAGAGATGGATGATAATGATTTTGGTGATTTTGGATCTGATCCTTATGAGTTTGCCAATGTGATTGGGGATGGAGATCAACCATTGTACCCTGGTTGTAGAAAGTACACGAAGTTATCGGCATTAGTGAAGTTGTATAATTTGAAGGCAAAATATGGGATGAGTGATGTCTGTTTTACAGAATTATTGATACTTCAAGGCGATTTGCTTCCAGACGGAAATACAATACCGGCCTCTATGTATGAGGCAAAAAGACTTTGTGTGCATTGGGGCTGAGTTATGAGAAAATGCACGCATGCCCCAATGATTGCATCTTGTATAGGAAGGAGTATGAGGATTTAACTCATTGTCCTAATTGTGGTATCTCAAGGTGGAAGGAAGGCAAAGATTCAATCTTGAAAGAGGGTGTGCCAGCGAAGGTGGTGTGGTATTTTCCTCCAATTCCAAGGTTTAAAAGGATGTTTCGATCACATGAGACCGCTAAGAGTTTGACTTGGCATGCTGCTAGAAAATCAATTGACGGTTATATGTCTCATCCAGCGGATTCCCCGTCTTGGAAACTTCTTGATGATAAATGGCCCGAGTTTGGTAATGAGCCGAGAAACTTGAGATTGGCTCTTTCATCTGATGGATTCAATCCCCACAGTTCTCTAAGTAGCAGATATAGTTGCTGGCCAGTTATCTTAGTTACATATAATCTCCCTCCATGGCTGTGCATGAAACGAAAGTTCATGATGTTGACCTTATTGATTTCCGGTCCTAAACAGCCCGGAAATGATATAGACGTCTACTTGGAGCCTTTGATTGATGATTTAAAATCTTTGTGGGATGGGATTGGAGGAGTGTATGATGCACATAATGGAGAATACTTTACACTCAGAGCTGCATTAATGTGGACAATTAATGATTTCCCCGCCTATGGAAACTTATCTGGTTGTGTTGTTAAAGGATATAAAGCTTGTCCAATATGCGGCGATGATACACCTAGTCACAGGTTGAAAAATGGCCACAAAATTTGTTACATTGGGCATAGAAAATGGTTACCGATCAATCATCCATATAGGAGGCAACGTGCAGCTTTTAATGGGAAACCTGAATATGGCACGCCTCCTGAGCCATTAACCGGAGAAGAAGTGCTGCATATGGTTGAAGATGGTGACAGAGTTTGTTGGAAGAAGAAATCAATATTCTTTGATCTCGAGTATTGGAAATACCTTCCTGTGAGGCATGTCCTAGATGTTATGCACATTGAGAAGAACGTTTGCGATAGTATCATTGGTACATTGCTGGAGATCCCTGGAAAAAATAAAGATGGGATTGCTGCTCGATTAGATTTATTGAACATGGGGGTCAAAACTGATTTGCAACCCGAGTATGGAGAAAGACGTACTCGTTTGCCTCCCGGGCCTTGGAATTTGTCAAGAGCAGAGAAGAGAGAGGTTTGCAATTCTTTCTATGGTATGAAGGTCCCTGAAGGTTATTCTTCAAATATAAAAAATCTTGTATCTTTACAAGATTCAAGACTTCTTGGCCTTAAATCACATGATTGTCATACCTTAATGCAACAATTGCTCCCTGTGGCAATTCGTTCTGTTTTGGAGAAGCCTGCAAGGTATGCAATAACTCGTTTGTGCTTCTTCTTCAATGCTATATGTGCAAAGACTGTTGATGTTTCCAAGCTAGATAAGTTGGAAGAAGATGTAGTAGTTACTTTGTGTTTGCTTGAGAAGTACTTTCCCCCTTCATTCTTTGATATCATGGTTCATCTAGTAGTACATCTTGTCAGAGAAGTTCGTCTGTGTGGGCCAGTATATTTTAGATGGATGTATCCGTTTGAAAGATATATGAAAGTGCTAAAGGGGTATGTTCAGAATCGTACTCGTCCCGAAGGTTGCATTGCTGAGCGGTATATAGCTGAAGAAGCTGTAGAGTTTTGTACCGAGCATTTATCTGATGTTAGTACAGTTGGAGTGCCTTCAAGCCAAAAGATGGGAGTTTCAAAGCCATTATCAGGTTGCACAGTGAGCGTAGTTGATCGGGACCTGTTGAACCAAGCACATCTATATGTCTTGGAGAATACGGAGGAAGTCCTACCTTATATCGAGTACGTATGAGTTTTATTCTTTAAGTTTCCATTTTAAATTATTTCTTATGTTTATCTTATATGTTTGGGATCGTAATACTTGAATTTTGTGTGTCATGTAGGCAACATATGATCCACATCCAGACCGCTTATCCAAAATTTAGAAAGAGAACAAAGTGGCTGCAGGATAAGCACAATAGCACTTTCATTCAATGGCTACGCTTCAAGGTATATGTTATTGAATAACATATTGGACTTTTAATTTTCTTCTTCTATGTTAGATTGAATTAAGTTATGATTAATTTGCAGGTTCAAAGTGAACTTAATGAGGAGACAATCATGGCGTATCAGAAAATTTAAGGTGGCTAGCAGCTGGTCCAAACATGGCAGTGCCATTATATAGGAGCTATCTCATTAAAGGTATTAAATTCAACATCAAGGCACAAGATGATGTGCGGACAACTCAAAATAGTGGAGTTTATTTACTTGCACATACTATGCAAGTTGCTAGTGCCAAGGATAAAAACCCAATTCTCTCAAATATGGGTTTCTATGGTGTCATTCAAGAAATTTGGGACCTTGACTACCAAAAGTTTACAATCCCAGTCTTTAGGTGTGATTGGATTGATAATACTTCTGGTCTTGTAGTGGACGAACTTGGATTTACCCTTGTAGATTTGAGTAAAATTGGACATAGGAATGACCAATTTGTTTTGGCTTCTCAAGTCAAACAAGTATTTTTTGTTGACGACCCGATGCATCGTGGTTGGTCGGTAGTGTTATCAATGCCTAATAGAGAATATAATGATGTTATTGGTGATGATGTCTTAGGTGATGTGAGAATTGAGTGTGAGCCATTTACTAGGGGGATGCCAAATGTTGACACATTTGATGAAGTGGTGGTTGAGTTAGGGAGTCAAAATATTCGAGATGGGTGTGAAGATATATGGGTTGAATGATGCTTTATGTAATTGGCAGTGTATGACATTAATTTTGTAATATATTGTAATGTGATTTCTTCACTTTCATTATACAGGTTTTGGCCACAAAACAATCAGTACAAAAATTACTGGTTCCAGATTACAAACACGACGGTTTTGATAAAGAACCGCCATGTAATTCAACATAACACGTCTCCAATCCCATAACACCGACGTCTAAAAGACGAGAACTTTAACCTGAACGTTACAAAAGACGACGTCGTCATGAATTTACCACGTCGCATGTTCTTTCATAAACGAAGTGGAAAAGGATGAATTCACGACGGTATTTGAAATCCATTAAATTTGTCGACGTTAAGATTTATGAATTAGACGACGTTAATTTTTTAATGAAGACGTATAAATTATTAAACACGACGGTCTTTTTCATGGTACCGACGTTGTATATAAACGACAACGTCGTCCTCATAAATTACTGTGTCGTAATTAATGACCCCATCATTTTTTCCACGTCGTTTATTTTCAAAATATGACGCATAAATTCTGTAATACGGCTCTCATTTATTTGGAACCGACGTTGTTTATTCATTTCAACGTCGTCTCAGTAAATACATACGTCGTAATTAATGAACCTGACATCTATTTCCACGTCATAATTCGTAGAAAAATCGAAGTGGAAAATTTATTTTACGACGGTATTTGAAGTCCATTAAACTTGTCGACGTTAAGATATATGCATTAGACGACGTCAATTTTTTAAATGAAGACGTATAAATTATTAAACACGACGGTCTTTTTCATGGTACCGACGTTGTATATAGACGACAACGTCGTCCTTATAAATTACTGTGTCGTAATTAATGACCCCATCATTTTTCCACGTCGTTTATTTTCAAAATATGACGTATAAATTCTGTAATACGGCTCTCATTTATTTGAAACCGACGTTATTTATCAATTCAACGTCGTCTCTGTAAATACATGCGTCGTAAGTAATGACCCTGACATCTATTTCCACGTCATAATTCATAGAAAAATCGAAGTGGAAAATTTATTTTACGACGGTTGTGGGAAATGTTGTGACGTAGTAGGTGTCAATAACGTCGTCTATTATTATTGTAAAGACGTCGTATTTATATTTGTCGTTAAATATTTATTTAACGGCGTCAAGTTTAAGTTCTCGTCGTTGTATGTTTATCTTGCGGCCATGTTCTGTTAATATATGTCATCTGTTTCCTTTTTAACGACGTTTTTTTGTTGGAGTTGGTCGTCTATTCTCATCCTCGACTCTTTTTTATGTCTTTTTGCAGCACAAAGACGTCGGTTTTTATTTTTTGATGACGTTTTTTGTTTTAACAACGACGGTTATTCACCGTCGTGGTTTGGTTATGGAAAAGATGTCGGTGGATTCCACGACCATTTGAAAACATTTTTTTTTTTTTTTTTTTTTTTTTTTTTTTTTTTTTTTTTTTTTTTTTTTTTTTTTTTTTTTTTTTTTTTTTTTTTTTTTTTTTTTTTTTTTTTTTTTTTTTTTTTTTTTTTTTTTTTTTTTTTTTTTTTTTTTTTTTTTTTTTTTTTTTTTTTTTTTTTTTTTTTTTTTTTTTTTTTTTTTTTTTTTTTTTTTTTTTTTTTTTTTTTTTTTTTTTTTTTTTTTTTTTTTTTTTTTTTTTTTTTTTTTTTTTTTTTTTTTTTTTTTTTTTTTTTTTTTTTTTTTTTTTTTTTTTTTTTTTTTTTTTTTTTTTTTTTTTTTTTTTTTTTTTTTTTTTTTTTTTTTTTTTTTTTTTTTTTTTTTTTTTTTTTTTTTTTTTTTTTTTTTTACAACTACTACAAAAAGTGAAAAAGACGACCACAAAAACACGACGGTCTACGTGAAAACCGTCGTTGTTTTTTAAAAGACGACGGTTTTATAAAACCGCCGTGTAATAACACATTAGACAACTAAAAAATGGAGTTTCAAATGGCTGTTCCAAAAACACGACGTACTTAATTAAAAAACCGACGTCTTATTGAAATAGGATTTTCAAGAGGTAAAATCATAGCCAACAAATAACGGCGGAAGTTATGAACCGACCGACGTAGAAAGTAAAGACGACGGTTTCAAAAAAAGCCGTCGTTTTTACCCAGAAATTAACACGACCAAGTTTTCGTATAAGGCGACGTAAAATTACAAATAAATCCACGGCGGTAAAATACAAAATACCGCCGTATTAAATTAATGTACAACTACGGCAAAGGTAAATATAACGACGTCTTTCTCGTATTTCTACGACGACATCTTTCAATCTTACCAAGTTGGGGTTTTCATATAACGACGTATTATAGAATTTAACGTCGTATTTGTCCACTTTATACGTCATAAATTATATTTAAACCGTCGTCTGAATAAGAATTTTTTTTAAACAATTTATTTCTTCGATTTTGTTATCCTACGTCGGTAGATCTACCTAACGACAAGAATTGAAATAACCACGACGGTTTATATAGAAAACCGCCGACATAATCAGATTATTCTGAGATCACAAGGGTTAGGAAATCTTACAAGATGGAACTCCAGATCTGTTGCTCATTATAATCTTACCAGAAAGACAATATTTTAGAGGTTAATGATGTATGTGTATTTGTGTCTTTGAGATACACAAACGCACATACACATTAACATCCAAAAAATTGCCTCTGAAATTTGACGACGGCAGCCTCAGATTTGCAATCAGAGAGACAATTTTTTGGAAGTTGATGATATGTGTGCGTTTGTGTATCTACACAAACGCACGCACACATCAACATCCAAACAATTGCCTCCTAAAATTTCACGACGGCAGCCACAGATTTGCAATCAGAGAGACAATTTTTTGGAAGTGAATGATGTGTGTGCGTTTGTGTATCTACACAAACGCACACACACATTCACATCCAAACAATTGCCTCCTAAAATTTCACGACGGCAGCCACAGATTTGCAATCAGAGAGACAATTTTTGGAAGTGAATGATGTATGTGCGTTTGTGTATCTACACAAACGCACACACACATTCACATCCAAACAATTGACTCCTAAAACTTCCCAAGAGATGAGGTGAGACAGAGAAAGGGGCAAGAAGAAGTTGAAACCCTAATCGAATACTAAAACTGAAAGAACCCGTGGAAAAAAACCCTATTTATAATTAAAAAACCAAATCCACGTCGGTTATATTACACATAACGACGTTTAACAAAAAACAATCCTCGTCGGTAACAAATACATTACGTCGTTTTATTCTTACTTAAAACGACAAGAAACGACGACGGTATAACAAAAACAGTCGTTGTTTTATATTTTTATTTGATTTAAATCAGTCACCTAGAAAAGAAACTTTACAAATTCTAGAACATTAATTTCCTCGGGAAAAAAAACTATATCTATAAGGCACTGTTTTTGAAAAATACACTATAAGAAAAAGGGGAAAAGAATTATATTTATAATAAAAAAATAAAATCCACGTCGGTTATATTACACATAACGACGTTTAAAAACGAATCCACGTCGTCGGAAAAAATAATACGTCGTTTTAGTTTAGTGTTATCCACGTCGGTATATTACAATAAAACGACGTATATTATAAAAATAAACGTCGTAACTTTAAAACAACCGTCGTGTTAAATATTTCTACCATGACGCGAGATATTGAGTTATCGACTTTTATTTAGGAGTTTACTACGGCGGTACCTACAACACTACGGTCGTATTTATGTACCACGTCATAAGTTCAAATTAGCGTCGTAGTTTGTCTATTAATACGTCGTCGTTCTATGTAAACCGCCGTCTTATTACTATGAAACGGTTTGTATACATATACAACTTTTCGTCTACCTGACTTACACATGCACTGTTTCCAAACCCGAGAAAACATTTCAATCTCCCAGAGAAAACTTTTCGTCTTTTTTCCTTGTCAGAGCACTGTCAGAGTATCTCATCGTCTTCCTCTTGTCTTCGTCGTCGCCTCTGAACTTAAACACCAAAATCCGAGAGAAAGCTTTCATTGCACGCAAAAGGTAAGCTTTCATTTCTCACTATTTTTGTTGCTATATTGCATGCTCATACTGTTTTTGTTTTGAAAATCTTTTTACCTTTTTTCTGGCGAAAATCATTTTTTTCTTTCCAAGTTTGATAAAATACACAGACAGAGAGGGAAAGTTTCAACTTTGAACATAACTAATTCAACTAAATAAGACGACGGTAGCTTTTTATTTACGTGGTTAAATATGTAGACCACGACGGTTCGTCAGTCGTCCTAGCGTCGTCTTAAAATTGATCTAAGTTGTTTTTAAAATGACGGTCAATTTTTTATTTGCTTGTTTAGTTGCAGGTTTGATTTCTCTGAACCATGGTTTTCGTTTTTCCTAATTGATAAAATACAGAGACAAAGAAAGTAGGGTTTGGTATCTTATATAGACGACGGTATCTTATTATTGACGCCGTGTGAATGTTCATACCACGACGTTATAATAAGATACCGTCGTCTATAAAAAGATGCCAAAGCTTTTTTTCTTTGTATTTTATCAAATTAGGAAAAACAAAAACCATGTTTCAGAGAAATGAAACCTACAATCAAACATTCACAAAGAAAGAAAAATGTTTTTGGTTTCTTATAAATACGACGGTAGCTTATTATTCACGTCGTGTGAATATCCATAACACGACGTTATATTAATATTTACGCCGTGTCAATATGAATATCACGACGTCGTGTAAATATCGACGTAATAAGTTCTTATTACGTCTTATTTAATATTGTTTCGTCGTTGTTTAAACATTTATATTGTTCTTCTTTAATCATTTATTACGTCTGATGTTATGTTATTACGTCGTGTAAAATCTTATCATACGTCGTAGTTTATAAATAACCGTCGTTTGTGTTCTAATTTTTTTCACGAAATATTTTCACTTGCAGGTTTGTTTATTCTGTAACCATGGTTTCTCAAGACCAAAGTAAGTACTCTGGCTCCAAAAAAAATGGAGGTAAGGAGCTTGGAATGGTAACTCCTCAAGACAAGCCCTTGAAGAAGATGAAGTTTGTTTCATCTGCTGAGAAAGAACCAAGCAGCACGACAACAATTTCTGAGGATTCAAAGTCAGGTCGAGGTATGAGCACAATGCCTCGTGTTGTGAAGAGAAAATTGCAGAAAATCAAGCCAGTTGTTGAGTACAATAAAAGGGGGAAAGGATGTGGCCCTGCACATACTGAGATGCAGTCCTACATTGGTGTGTTGGCACGCTCCAGAGTCCCACTTGTGGACAAGAAATGGGCTGACATCCCCAATGATATAAAGGAGCAGATTTGGGAAGCCGTTGACATGGCTTTTGTGGTAGGTCAAGGGGGCAAGACCTCGGTGTTATCTTCTGCTGCCAAGAAATGGAAGGATTTCAAGTCTACACTGACGAGGCATTATATCCTTCCATACATCAATGAGAGGGAGAAATTAAGCCAACCCCCTGCAGTATATAAATTCATAGAGAAAGCAGAATGGGATGCCTTTGTAGCTTCAAGGTTATCCAAAGACTTTGAGTCTGTGCATTCTCAACATGCACAGATTAGGGAGAAACTTGAGTACAATCATCGATTGTCTCGAAAAGGATATGCTGGTTTGGAGGATCAATTGGAGGAAACCATGCCTGGGGTAGAAATTGATCGATCTACCTTATGGAAGAAAGCTAGACAGGACAAACATGGTAACATCCCGGATCCAAAGGTGGCAGAGAAAGCAAAATTAATTGTAAGCCTACACACTCTGTTTTAAATTTTTATATACTGTGTAGAATTCTTACTACGTCTTATGTTATATTTTTCCGTCGTGTGAATGATTTTACTACGTCGAAATATTTTAAAAACGTCGTGAAAGATATAAATCTGGAATCACAACTCTGTTTTCTGTAATTATAGCATAAGACGTCGGTGGTTAATGTTTTTCCGTCGTGTTAATGTTATTACTACGTCGAAATGTTTTCAAAAACGTCGTGAAATATCTAAATCTGGAATCACAACTCTGTTTTCTGTAATTACAGCATAAGACGTCGGTGGTTTATTTATTGCGTCGTTTTAAACAACTAACCACGTCGGTTTTAATTAACGTCGTTATAAAGATATTATAACGTCGATTTCTATATTGGTGCGTCGTGTGAAATTATATAATGCGTCGTTTGTTTATAAATAACCGTCGTGTATTTTCTTGTGCTGACTTTTTTTTTGTCTTTGTTTTAGGATGAATTGCAAAAACAAGTGGCTGAAGGCAGTCTGAGTATAACTGGCAGTAATGATGTGTTGACCATGGCTTTGGGTCCCGAGCATCCAGGGAGAGTAAGAGGGGTAGGTGCTGGGATTTCCCCTAGGCAATTCTTCAATTTACCTAGACCACAAAGGGTGAAGTTTGCTGATCAATTGAAGGAAAGTGTAAGAATTGTCCTTCAAGAAGAGACTAAGAAGATGGAAGCTAGAACCAAACAATTAGTAGAGGCTGAGAGGGAACATTTACTAAGTCAGCTTTCCCACCTCATCCCCAATTTTGATCCAAGCATGCTTAAACCGAAAACAAGTCCCATGAATCCAATGTCTGATAAAGCAAGCTGTTCTGGGGCTGACGTGAGATCCCTACATTTAGAGGATGATACTGCCAGAAATGGGGAACAGCAGAACAAACGGTAACATAACTGAACTTTGAATTCCCTGTTTTTTTTTAAACATTAGACGTCGTTATTATGAATAAACCGTCGTTTTAAAACCATACCACGACGATTTTGTAAATAACCCGTCGTGTTTATTTAAATACCACGTCGTATTTAGTTTACTTGTTTTACACGCCATTAGACGTCGTACTTTGTGGCTTTTAGACGACGGTTTTTGTCCTCAACGACGTGATATAAAATTACCACGACGTTTATTATTTACCATCGTTTAATAATTTTAAGACGTCCATAATTCTTACATACCGTCTTATGTTATGCCTTACCACGACGTTTTGGTTTAATTTTTTTACTCTCTGTACAATCTGTCTTATATATATATTTCTTTATTATTTAAAACAGAAATCTGGGGCTTTAGATAATCAAGATGAAGAGAAGAGAGAAGAAAATAAAGATGAACAGAAGATGGGAGAAAAATGATGAAGGGAAGAAGGAAGAAAAAAAGAGAATAAAGATGAAGGCAAAGAGGAAGACACAAATGTTGAAGAGAAGAAAGAAGAAAAACAAGATGAAGAAAAGCATGACGAGGAGGTATATTCTCATAACTTTGCCTTTTTAATTTGTTTTTCACATTTCAGACGTCAATATTTTACTTTAAACCGTCGTTTGTTTTAACATTAGACGTCGGAATTTATTTTCTACGACGTAATAAATAATCTAAAACGACGGTATTTAATTACCGTCGTTTAAATTATAATCAGACGACGTTGTTTAATTTAAGCCGTCGTTTTTAATGAATTACCACAACAATTTATTTTGCTTTATTTCTTTAAACAGGGTGATGAAGTACTCGATTATTCAAATGTGGAGGTGCCATCTTCCTTACAATCCCTTTGTGGTTATGTGGAAACTACACTAAAGCCACAGGGGAAGATCATGACTTCAACATTGAGAAGGAGGTGTTTGGTGCAGATCGAAGTACCTTCGTCTTGCATGAAGATATTACACAGTTGCAGGCATGGAAGAAATTGGGGCTACTGTGGTTGCAGTATATATGAGGTTTGTCCTAATCAAATATCAAACATTATATCATAAGACGTCGGTTGTTTAATTATTGCGTCGTTTTAAATCACTAACCACGTCGTTCTTTTTTACCGTCGTGATAAATTAGTTATCACGTCTGTTTCTATTTCAGTTCGTCGTGTGAAATTATATAATACGTCGTTTGTGTATAAATAACCGTCGTTTGTTTTATATATTTAGGTGCTTATATGATCTTTTGAGAGAAGCAAATATGTGCAGCATGGTTGGCTTTATCGACCCTGCTCAAGTTAGTGCCAACGCTGGGTCACTAACTGACAGATCACGAATTGTAGCCAGTCGACTTCAGAAAACAGATGGTGAACAGATTTTCATGATGCCTTACAATCCAGGGTTAGTCTCCTTAAATGGATTTTGTTTGTATGATTTTCACTTATAAAACTGTTTAACTAATTCTGTGTCGTTTGAAACATCTAACCACGTCGGTTATTTATTTATACCATCGTTTGAAACAACTAACCACGTCGGTAGTTAATTCTCGTCGTGATAAATTTATAATCACGTCGATGATTAAGTTCTTACGTCGTGTGAAACTATATAATACGTCGGTTTTTATAAATAACCGTCGTTTTTTATTTTATTTTTGTGCAGCCGTCATTGGGTCTTGCTGATTGTGAGGGCAAAGAGGGAAACCGTCTATTTTCTGGATCCTCTGCCTGGAAATCGTGTGGTGGATGAGGAGGGCAAAAACATCGTGAACAGTGCTTTAAAAATTTATAATTCCCACATAGGCAGACCAGGCCGTAAAGCACCAATTTGGAAAACTCTGCCAGGCACACCAAAGCAACCCAGCAGTGTCGAATGCGGGTATTATGTCATGCGCTTCATGAGGGACATCATCATGGATCCTTCCTTGGAGTTTGAGAAGAAGGTAAGAAAAAAATTTTCAGAAACATTTTATTTGGTTTTTGTATTATCAACGACGGTCATTTAAAATTACCGTCGTTGAATCGATAGACTACGTCGGTTATAAAAAAAACGTCGTCTGTGACTGAATTTCTTTTTATTTTGTAAAGCTTAATAATCGTTGTTTATGGATTGCAGTTTGCCAAGGGAAAAGATCAAGCGCCATACCCCCAAGCAGCCATTGATGAAGTCAGGAAAGAATGGGCAGAGTTTGTTTGCCTTCATATGGATTAGAGGATTTTTGGAACACTTGATATTTTTATATGTACTAATTTTGTCTATAATATATATAATGTACAAATTTTGTCTATAATATACATCCTTTTTTTCCCTGAAAATTTGCAGAGGTTTTCATATTATAAAAGAAAAAACAATTTGCTGAGGTTTTCATATTATAAAAGAAAAAACAATTTGCTGAGGTTTTCATATTTTACACATATATAATTTATGGTTTTAAAGTTTAGGGTATTACTTTTAACGACGGTGATTGAGTCGTGGAATATTGAGTTTACGTCGTATGGTGAAAAATACGACGTGGTTTCTTTTTTAAACGACGTTTTGTTTACCTGTTAGTCGTTTATTATTGTTTACAACGTCGTTAGTTACTTAACCCCGCCGTGGTTTGTTGTTGATATAAGAATATTTTATTATTTTTAATTCAAAATTTTAAAAATAAATTTAAAATAAATTCAAAAAATTCAACTTCAACTCCTATGAAGTCATTGATATATTTTCTTCCCCCTAAACCCCAAAAAAATGCAGTTTGTGTAATGAAAGTTTAAAATGACCAACCAAAATAAAATTGTTTTATGAGTCATAGCATCACTTATATAGTTTGATGGTTTAGGGTTTAGGTTTTAGGGTTTGGGGTTTAGGGTTGTTATTTATTAGGGTTTATGGATAAAGTATAATTTTTGGGGTTTAGGGTTTATGCTTGTTATTTATTAGGATGTAAAACCATAAACAATTTTATAAAATTAAATTTTACAAATATATAATTTATGGTTTTAAAGTTTAGGGTATTACTTTTAACGACGGTGATTGAGTCGTGGAATATTGAGTTTACGTCGTATGGTGAAAAATACGACGTGGTTTCTTTTTTAAACGACGTTTTGTTTACCTGTTAGTCGTTTATTATTGTTTACAACGTCGTTAGTTACTTAACCCCGCCGTGGTTTGTTGTTGATATAAGAATATTTTATTATTTTTAATTCAAAATTTTAAAAATAAATTTAAAATAAATTCAAAAAATTCAACTTCAACTCCTATGAAGTCATTGATATATTTTCTTCCCCCTAAACCCCAAAAAAATGCAGTTTGTGTAATGAAAGTTTAAAATGACCAACCAAAATAAAATTGTTTTTATGAGTCATAGCATCACTTATATAGTTTGATGGTTTAGGGTTTAGGGTTTGGGTTTGGGGTTTAGGGTTGTTATTTATTAGGGTTTATGGATAAAGTATAATTTTTGGGGTTTAGGGTTTATGCTTGTTATTTATTAGGATGTAAAACCATAAACAATTTTATAAAATTAAATTTTACACATATATAATTTATGGTTTTAAAGTTTAGGGTATTACTTTTAACGACGGTGATTGAGTCGTGGAATATTGAGTTTACGTCGTATGGTGAAAAATCCGACGTGGTTTCTTTTTTAAACGACGTTTTGTTTACCTGTTAGTCGTTTATTATTGTTTACAACGTCGTTAGTTACTTAACCCCGCCGTGGTTTTTCATAGTTTTAACGCCTTTTTTGATTTTGCGTGGTACATAGTTTTACCACGACGTCCTTAATGTAATAAGCGTCATGTTTAATGTTCAATTTTAACGACGCTTGTATTTTCGGTCGATGTTTTAAAAAGCGCGCTTTCTTAAAATATTCGCGGGACCTAAAATTTTCAGATTTGGCTCTTATTTTTATACTTCTAACCCTGAACCCTAAAATTTTCTGATTTCGCGCAACATAACATTTCGCTCTCTCACTTCATCTCTAATTCAAAGTTGGGCCAGGCTGTGTCAAATCCAATTTGGTCATAATCTGTGAGCTCTGCCAACCTGTAAGTACAAACCCTCTCTTCCCCTTGTAAATTCATTGAATGATATATTACGGTGTTTTGTTAAAGGGTTTTAGGTATATGTTTTGCGATCTGTTAATAATGTTGTTGGAGGTATGGGTTCATGGATTTTCTGTTTAATGTTTTCTTGATCACTCTCTGTTATGTTGAATATGGAATGGATTTCATTTTGTCGGATCTTTTAATCACTCTCTGTCATGTTGAATTGGGAATGGATTTATTGTTTTCATGCTTAGTATATGTTGGTTTCATGTATATGTTGGTTTCTTGCTTGGTTTCATGTCTATGTTGTGTTCTTAATAGGGTTTTGGGATCTTGAAAATAAACTGGATATCGACGCGTTTTCAGGCATACGACGACGGTTTTTACTTTAAACCGTCGTTTTTATTACTTATACACGACGGTGTTATTTAACTACCGTCGTGGTTACAATTAGACGACGTAAAATCCGTCGTCTATATATGTCAAATACGTCTGTTTTTGTTTAAAAACCGTCGTCTCTGTTGTATATTACTTGCTATTAGACTTTATGTAATCTGCTATAGTGATGGTCATTGCTTGTCTTTTCACTTTATTATATATAATAGGGTATAGTGTCGGAGATGGATAAGTCATGGATGCACTCGGATAGAAGATCGAAGGCATATGAGTTAGGGGTGGAAGCATTTTTGAACTTTTCTGTAGAAAATCTTCTAACTACCACACATATCCGTTGTCCATGTGTTAAATGTGTTAATTTGAAATTGTTTGGGGTTGGAATTATAAGGGATCACTTATACTTTAATGGAGTTGACCAAAGCTATAAGAATTGGACATTTCACGGAGAACCTTGGGAAGCAGCTACTAATGCTAGTAGAAATGTTGAAGAAGATGATGACCATAGTAGGTACAGTTTTGTGTCTGAAGAAATAGAGATGGATGATAATGATTTTGGTGATTTTGGATCTGATCCTTATGAGTTTGCCAATGTGATTGGGGATGGAGATCAACCATTGTACCCTGGTTGTAGAAAGTACACGAAGTTATCGGCATTAGTGAAGTTGTATAATTTGAAGGCAAAATATGGGATGAGTGATGTCTGTTTTACAGAATTATTGATACTTCAAGGCGATTTGCTTCCAGACGGAAATACAATACCGGCCTCTATGTATGAGGCAAAAAAGACTTTGTGTGCATTGGGGCTGAGTTATGAGAAAATGCACGCATGCCCCAATGATTGCATCTTGTATAGGAAGGAGTATGAGGATTTAACTCATTGTCCTAATTGTGGTATCTCAAGGTGGAAGGAAGGCAAAGATTCAATCTTGAAAGAGGGTGTGCCAGCGAAGGTGGTGTGGTATTTTCCTCCAATTCCAAGGTTTAAAAGGATGTTTCGATCACATGAGACCGCTAAGAGTTTGACTTGGCATGCTGCTAGAAAATCAATTGACGGTTATATGTCTCATCCAGCGGATTCCCCGTCTTGGAAACTTCTTGATGATAAATGGCCCGAGTTTGGTAATGAGCCGAGAAACTTGAGATTGGCTCTTTCATCTGATGGATTCAATCCCCACAGTTCTCTAAGTAGCAGATATAGTTGCTGGCCAGTTATCTTAGTTACATATAATCTCCCTCCATGGCTGTGCATGAAACGAAAGTTCATGATGTTGACCTTATTGATTTCCGGTCCTAAACAGCCCGGAAATGATATAGACGTCTACTTGGAGCCTTTGATTGATGATTTAAAATCTTTGTGGGATGGGATTGGAGGAGTGTATGATGCACATAATGGAGAATACTTTACACTCAGAGCTGCATTAATGTGGACAATTAATGATTTCCCCGCCTATGGAAACTTATCTGGTTGTGTTGTTAAAGGATATAAAGCTTGTCCAATATGCGGCGATGATACACCTAGTCACAGGTTGAAAAATGGCCACAAAATTTGTTACATTGGGCATAGAAAATGGTTACCGATCAATCATCCATATAGGAGGCAACGTGCAGCTTTTAATGGGAAACCTGAATATGGCACGCCTCCTGAGCCATTAACCGGAGAAGAAGTGCTGCATATGGTTGAAGATGGTGACAGAGTTTGTTGGAAGAAGAAATCAATATTCTTTGATCTCGAGTATTGGAAATACCTTCCTGTGAGGCATGTCCTAGATGTTATGCACATTGAGAAGAACGTTTGCGATAGTATCATTGGTACATTGCTGGAGATCCCTGGAAAAAATAAAGATGGGATTGCTGCTCGATTAGATTTATTGAACATGGGGGTCAAAACTGATTTGCAACCCGAGTATGGAGAAAGACGTACTCGTTTGCCTCCCGGGCCTTGGAATTTGTCAAGAGCAGAGAAGAGAGAGGTTTGCAATTCTTTCTATGGTATGAAGGTCCCTGAAGGTTATTCTTCAAATATAAAAAATCTTGTATCTTTACAAGATTCAAGACTTCTTGGCCTTAAATCACATGATTGTCATACCTTAATGCAACAATTGCTCCCTGTGGCAATTCGTTCTGTTTTGGAGAAGCCTGCAAGGTATGCAATAACTCGTTTGTGCTTCTTCTTCAATGCTATATGTGCAAAGACTGTTGATGTTTCCAAGCTAGATAAGTTGGAAGAAGATGTAGTAGTTACTTTGTGTTTGCTTGAGAAGTACTTTCCCCCTTCATTCTTTGATATCATGGTTCATCTAGTAGTACATCTTGTCAGAGAAGTTCGTCTGTGTGGGCCAGTATATTTTAGATGGATGTATCCGTTTGAAAGATATATGAAAGTGCTAAAGGGGTATGTTCAGAATCGTACTCGTCCCGAAGGTTGCATTGCTGAGCGGTATATAGCTGAAGAAGCTGTAGAGTTTTGTACCGAGCATTTATCTGATGTTAGTACAGTTGGAGTGCCTTCAAGCCAAAAGATGGGAGTTTCAAAGCCATTATCAGGTTGCACAGTGAGCGTAGTTGATCGGGACCTGTTGAACCAAGCACATCTATATGTCTTGGAGAATACGGAGGAAGTCCTACCTTATATCGAGTACGTATGAGTTTTATTCTTTAAGTTTCCATTTTAAATTATTTCTTATGTTTATCTTATATGTTTGGGATCGTAATACTTGAATTTTGTGTGTCATGTAGGCAACATATGATCCACATCCAGACCGCTTATCCAAAATTTAGAAAGAGAACAAAGTGGCTGCAGGATAAGCACAATAGCACTTTCATTCAATGGCTACGCTTCAAGGTATATGTTATTGAATAACATATTGGACTTTTAATTTTCTTCTTCCTGTGTGAGATTGAATTAAGTTATGATTAATTTGCAGGTTCAAAGTGAACTTAATGAGGAAGACAATCATGGCGTATCAGAAAATTTAAGGTGGCTAGCAGCTGGTCCAAACATGGCAGTGCCATTATATAGGAGCTATCTCATTAAAGGTATTAAATTCAACATCAAGGCACAAGATGATGTGCGGACAACTCAAAATAGTGGAGTTTATTTACTTGCACATACTATGCAAGTTGCTAGTGCCAAGGATAAAAACCCAATTATCTCAAATATGGGTTTCTATGGTGTCATTCAAGAAATTTGGGACCTTGACTACCAAAAGTTTACAATCCCAGTCTTTAGGTGTGATTGGATTGATAATACTTCTGGTCTTGTAGTGGACGAACTTGGATTTACCCTTGTAGATTTGAGTAAAATTGGACATAGGAATGACCAATTTGTTTTGGCTTCTCAAGTCAAACAAGTATTTTTTGTTGACGACCCGATGCATCGTGGTTGGTCGGTAGTGTTATCAATGCCTAATAGAGAATATAATGATGTTATTGGTGATGATGTCTTAGGTGATGTGAGAATTGAGTGTGAGCCATTTACTAGGGGGATGCCAAATGTTGACACATTTGATGAAGTGGTGGTTGAGTTAGGGAGTCAAAATATTCGAGATGGGTGTGAAGATATATGGGTTGAATGATGCTTTATGTAATTGGCAGTGTATGACATTAATTTTGTAATATATTGTAATGTGATTTCTTCACTTTCATTATACAGGTTTTGGCCACAAAACAATCAGTACAAAAATTACTGGTTCCAGATTACAAACACGACGGTTTTGATAAAGAACCGCCATGTAATTCAATATAACACGTCTCCAATCCCATAACACCGACGTCTAAAAGACGAGAACTTTAACCTGAACGTTACAAAAGACGACGTCGTCATGAATTTACCACGTCGCATGTTCTTTCATAAACGAAGTGGAAAAGGATGAATTCACGACGGTATTTGAAATCCATTAAATTTGTCGACGTTAAGATTTATGAATTAGACGACGTTAATTTTTTAATAAAGACGTATAAATTATTAAACACGACGGTCTTTTTCATGGTACCGACGTTGTATATAAACGACAACGTCGTCCTCATAAATTACTGTGTCGTAATTAATGACCCCATCATTTTTTCCACGTCGTTTATTTTCAAAATATGACGCATAAATTCTGTAATACGGCTCTCATTTATTTGGAACCGACGTTGTTTATTCATTTCAACGTCGTCTCAGTAAATACATACGTCGTAATTAATGAACCTGACATCTATTTCCACGTCATAATTCGTAGAAAAATCGAAGTGGAAAATTTATTTTACGACGGTATTTGAAGTCCATTAAACTTGTCGACGTTAAGATATATGCATTAGACGACGTCAATTTTTTAAATGAAGACGTATAAATTATTAAACACGACGGTCTTTTTCATGGTACCGACGTTGTATATAGACGACAACGTCGTCCTTATAAATTACTGTGTCGTAATTAATGACCCCATCATTTTTTCCACGTCGTTTATTTTCAAAATATGACGTATAAATTCTGTAATACGGCTCTCATTTATTTGAAACCGACGTTATTTATCAATTCAACGTCGTCTCTGTAAATACATGCGTCGTAAGTAATGACCCTGACATCTATTTCCACGTCATAATTCATAGAAAAATCGAAGTGGAAAATTTATTTTACGACGGTTGTGGGAAATGTTGTGACGTAGTAGGTGTCAATAACGTCGTCTATTATTATTGTAAAGACGTCGTATTTATATTTGTCGTTAAATATTTGTTTAACGGCGTCAAGTTTAAGTTCTCGTCGTTGTATGTTTATCTTGCGGCCATGTTCTGTTAATATATGTCATCTGTTTCCTTTTTAACGACGTTTTTTTGTTGGAGTTGGTCGTCTATTCTCATCCTCGACTCTTTTTAATGTCTTTTTGCAGAACAAAGACGTCGGTTTTTAATTTTTGATGACGTTTTTTGTTTTAACAACGACGGTTATTCACCGTCGTGGTTTGGTTATGGAAAAGATGTCGGTGGATTCCACGACCTTTGAAAACAGAATACACGACGGTGAATTTCCCGTCGTGTTTTTCCTTTTTTGTAGTAGTGATGGGAGTTAATATAGGTTAGACAAAAAAGATGGGAGAAAAGTCGGGGAAGTATTAAGCATATTCCTTTATAATTCGGGGAAGTATTAAGCATATTCCTTTATAACACTGACATCTATCTCAACTTAAATAATGTCTTTTTTATACAAACAATATTTTACTTTAATTTATTCTAAATTATGGAAAGAAGGATTTAAACTCAAGGCAAAGTGAGAAGCACATCCTCTAAACCAACTTGACTAAGCCCATATTTGCAATTCGTCTTTAACAGGCTCTTAACATAATGAGATTATAATGGCATTTGTAATGCATCAATACTGCCAAGAAAAGACATAATATTTTAAGTTACGGTAGTTTTATAAGATTATTTGCTCTATGTGAGCATTATTTGGGTACATGTGATGCGATACATGACAGCCTATTATTGCAGTTTTATTAGTGGTTAGATTGCTAACCACAACTACACTTGCCTAGCTACTCAGTTGAAGTTGATTGGGTATTTCAGCTGTTTGCTTGGTGAAAACAGCCCCCAATGTTTCTCAAATTCCGGGTTCTTTCTGTTCTCATCAAACATGGCAAAGATGTAGGTTTCTATGGCCCTTCCGGGCTTCCTTGGAGTCCCTCCCTTAACATGTTGAATCAGATTTGCATTATAAGTCCTTGCATTATCAATTGTTGTTGCCGTTCCACCAGCTGATGGCCAACCACTTTCCGATATGACAATTTCCAAAGACCCTCCGCCCGCCTTCTCAAGAGCGGCATAAACAGCGTCCAAAATGGCATCGAAAAGATTACGATAGCCACGTTGGCCATCTTGTACCACAACTGATGGGGGCTGTGAAAAGAGCATAATCTAGACGAATGTCACGAGTGTTGCCGATGTAGCTGAAATAAGGGTACAAATTAACCAGCAACGGCGATTTGTTGTTCACTAGGAAGCGGATGATGGGGGTTCAAAAGTGCTCCATATTCGGACTTGAACTCTCCGTTGGATGGAGGAAAGGAATTTCCAAGCACTCCAGTGTCTATGGCAGTGGAGACTTTAATTCCCAAACCAGCACTAGAAATTGCGTTCTGAATGTTTTGCATGGCCGGGACAAGAAATTGTGCATGGAGTCTGAGGGCTTGACTTCATTTCCTACCGCAATGTATTTGAATCTTACATTGCCATAGTTTCTCACATTGTTTTGGACCCAAGTATTTGCATTGGCCTGGCTTGAGGCAAGGCTTTGAAGGTTGTCATTTGGAACGCCTAGCATGAGCTCAATATTAGAGCCTCTAAGGGCTGCTAGAGCAGCCTGGTTTGGATCATACAGTCGCATTCTTCCGATGTTATTTTGCTTGTACAGAGCAATAACTTCTGATGGGGGGCGGTAAACGATCTCCAAGCATTCCCATAACATACACCAATTTGGGCTCCTGCAATATTGAAGAAGAAATTATAATGAGGTTTTATGATACTGGAGAAAAGTTCACTAGATTTATACAATATAATTTGTCGCTAAAATGATCTTGAATATATTCAAGACCTATTTACATCAATGTCCCTTGAAACTAAGGTCAAATCTCACATTGCTCTCTGAAATTAAAAGTGGCCTACTTACCCCGCTCGACCATACTTCGGTGACCCAATTTGCCCCCCAACGTCAACTTCGTCCAAAAGTCTGTTAACTTTTGACTACGTGACATGGGTGTTTTTGTAATTTCGTATACACATGGACAAAATAAATAATAAATAATTTTTCAATTAAAAAAAAATTTAAACCGAACAGCATTCTTCCCCTCCCCCGCTTATCAATAACCTTGCACTTGAAAATGAAGTTTAAGTAGAAGCTATTAAATTCTGTTTTGCATGTTGTTTCCATCCACCCAGACATGGAAGCAACTCATAAGTTCGTTGGAAAAATCAAGTAATTGTGTAAAAGAAAGTATCAGGCAACAGTTCCCACAGATCTTATAAACATTCAAATTTAGGGCAGGGGTTACATGTGAAGAGAGTGAGCCCGCCATTAAAAAAGCTTGACAATGATTTACAGTCCTAAGGAATAATTAGAGACAAGAAAAAAGAGGAAATATTCTCAAATGTGAGAAAGAAATTAACTTTAAGCAGGATCTATGGTGAAAAAAAGGAGGAAGATTCACTATTATACCCAATATAGGAGCCCAAATTTTTAGAAATAAAAAAAAACCCTATATTAAATGGACTTTAGAAGCACACCCAAAGTCCATTTACAATATAACAAAAAGACTTTTAACTTCTTTTAAATTACAAAACTGTCATTTATTTTTTAAAACAAATTCAACCCAAAACCTCATAGAAAAGCCCAAAACACTCAATAGGGCATTAAAGGAATTTAATAATCAAAATTAAATGGTGTAGGGTTTATTTATATTTTTAGTGCCAAAAATGGGTATATTACTAAATATTTCAAAAAAGAAATTGTCAAATAGGAGCTCTTATAGGTACTCAAAGCAGGTTAAGAATTATAAAAACTATGTACCCCTTCCAAGCCATATAGGGACGAATCTTGCTCTCCTGATTCAACCAGCCCCAGCTGCCTCCCCACCCAGCAGCCCCGACCCTCGCCACAAAACCCTCTGTTTTTTCAATTCTAGAAAGACGCATAATGCATCAACCCAAACCCCCATCTTCACTAAGTTCCAAGAAACTAAGCCTTCTCCTAAGAGTCCCTAACAGAGACGGGTCTGCAAGAAATTCCCAAAGGGGATCGAGAGATCTGCCTAGTCATGGTGATCTCTCCAAGGACAGGTCTGAGGGACGAAGATTCAGTGGTGGGTTCGATCGGGAGAGGAAAGTGGGGTTCTCGTGTAATGGGGGTGCTGATTCTGATAATTGGGGGAGGAAGAAGGAGAGTAATGGTGGGCTTGGAGAAGAAGGAAAATTGGGCCATCTAAATTGCTTGGTTGATTGCTTGGTTGATTTATTGTTATTGGAATTGGATTGCAATTTCTAATTCCATTGATCATATCTGAGGAAAAAAATTGGTACAGAAAATTTGGGAGGCAGCTGGGTGGTTGAGGATTGTAATTTCAGTATTGGTGGTGGATAATGATTCATCTGTATGAAATTACAAAAACACTCGTGCCACGTCATCAAAGTTAACAGATTTTTAGACGGAGTTGATATCGGGGGCAAATTGGGCCACCAAAATACGATTAAGCGGGTAAGTGAGCCATTTTGAGTTTTCGGGAGCAATGTGAGATTTGACCGTAGTTTAAAAGGGCATTGGTGTAAATAAACCTATATTCAAATTGCTAAAGGATATCCAATTTGATCGATTTTCTATGTGGATCATTTTAAACGGGCTCAAAAAATGTATGAATTGTTTCAGCCAATGTAAAGTTCTTCAGGTTAGCTCCATTAATTAAAGATTTTATGTTAAGCATAGGTTATGGACTTCTCGCCCATTAAATTGCATGTATGGTACCTATGAACAAAAATATGTAACCCACTAACATATTTAAAGTATGGCTGAGATTAAAATTCCTCAACAAATCATGCCTGCAGGTGTTTGGGTGTGGGTGTGGATGCATTTGTGCGAGAGAGATACCTGTTGTTTCAAAAGGTAGCCACCAGCCCAAGTAGAAATACTATCGAAATCATTGAAGGGCCTCTACCGACTGATGAATTGGATTTAGCCATGATAATAAGGAAAAGATAGATATTCTAAGAAGTATTGCAAGTGTGCCTCTCCATGTTGCCTCTTGCTCTTTAATTTATAGACATCAGAGAGTGGCCTGCAACGACTAAGAATAGTCAATCCCTTGGTCAAGTGTTTTGCTAATTAATCTTTTCCATCTTTCTCTAATGCATTTTTTGTGCTTAATTTTGCATTATATTTCATGAGGGTTGCCTTATTTAATCATGGCTAAACCCAATAGTCTTTCAATGGCCTCAAATCCAATTTTCCTTTTATACAGGTAATAATGGGACGGAGTATTAATCGAATTAATTTAAGACCTCGAGTACAGAATAAATATTTTTAAACAACTTGCACTAAAAGCCCTTATGTCTCAAGTCCACTTTCATACACTTCACATATAATGTCTGGCCTCATATATAATTAATGAACTTGTGGTGGATATAACAAGACAATTGAAGCCTAGATAGTGGGTGAGTAGGGCCAGACCAGTCTATAGAAGCTGCGATCCGTATTGCTTACCCTTGACTTCCAAATTTCGTGATGTTAATAAAGACAATATAAATGTAATAATGGCATGCGATGAGATGGTATTTTGTGCTCATCCTTGACAATTGTATGTGGAAAAATGGGACTCAAAGTTTGGTACATTGCATATATGCCGACTTCCACCGGAGACATGATTACAAACATTATTGTATTTCGGGAGCGATTTTCTTTCCCACGAGAATATTCGTTTGAACGATTCCTCTTTCCTTTTCGTCCCTCTTTCTCCTTGCAAAATAGATCCAAATTAGAGGACCCACCTGTGGGGTGTTGGCCAAATGCCCTCTGATACCTAAGTCAGTTCAATTGATTCGTAGAGACAACAATAGCTAAATAACGTACGAAGATGTATATGCAAGGTGTAAACCGGTAGTTGGAGGTGGTCGGAGCCTTGTGTAAGAGGGAGAGAAAGTGTGGCGGCTAGGGTTTGTGAGAGGAAATTTCTGTAGAGCTTCAGAGAGAATTTCTGCAGAGGGCTTGTGGCTCAAGGTCAGTTGCTCGTTTGCTGATCTTAACCAGTTCATAGAGGGAGTGATGGGGGTCTTCTGGTAAGAAACCGTCAGTTCCTTTGTAGAGCTTTCTTGATTTGACTTTTCTGTACTTGAAAACGCTGGCAACTTTGATCTTTTCTGGTTTCGGAGGCTTCAGTACAGCTTGTTTTCTTGCTGGAAGTGAAGAAGGTCAAGTCGTATTAAATGTGATAACCCCTTACGACCTCCCGCGTGGGTTTAGAAACACACGCTTACCAATCTCTTGAACTTGTAGCACGAGACAAAGCCTGATTCTCATGACTTGGGCCCTTCTCTCTTTTTTTATTATGAGAGGCCTAGTTGGGAGATGGATAATCTTAAGAAAGGACAAACGCTGGTGGGCCTGGTTTTTTTTTTTTTTTTTTTTTTTTAAACTCTTTTTAAAAAATCTCTTTTTTTTTTAAAAACCAGACCCTTCCATGCCCGCCCCCCTTTCCCCTTAACCACCAAATAATTAATAACCAGGGGTAAATGTGAAGAGTTTTAATCACACATAATTTCGTGAAAGTCCTCTTGTTCTTATAATGTTAAAACTTGGCCCTCTGATAATAAGTCATGCGATCTTAACAAAGAAAGCAAAAGTTAAGAGAAAAGGTGTAGATATATAACTACTACATAACTACTACAATTTACGTTTTGAAAACAAGATGAGTGATACAATATTACTAGGCTTTTGTAATTGACATTAATATATATATCTATATCTATATATATAAAGCAAAAAATAGAGAATGGTAAAAACATTCAACTAGTATATATATATATATATATATAATATATATATATATGAGATTGAAATTTAATTCCTAAAGAACCTATTCAACTAGTAAACTTCACCAATATGGGGTTAGTTTGGATTAGCCCATGTCTTTGAAGTGCTCCCAAGTGGTCTAAATTCAAATTTTCCATGATACCCGTGTATGTGAGTTTTTTTCCTTCCCCTTCCTAACTTCGGCCATAAAAGAGAGAAGTAAACTTCATCATTATTATATTCCCCTTTAGTGACAATTTTGTATACATCACAAGACACTTGGCTTTTGCCTTAGATTTCATAAATAAATAAATAAAACCTGCGCCCATACATCAGAAGACACTTAGCTTTTATTTAGGGTTACGAGTAACCTTAGAACACTAGAGTTTCCACCCTTAGTTGAAATCAATGTGATAAACAGGCTGTTTGTTTAGGAAAGAACAGCCCCCAGTGTCTCTCAGTCTCTTCTCCAGGTTTCTTATTCTCATTAAACATGGCAAACATATAAGTCTCTATGGGCCTCCAGGTCTCTTTGGCGTCCCTCCCTTCACGTGCTTGATCAAATTTGAGTTTGTAAATTCTCGCATTCCCCTTCGTTGTCACTGTCCCATCCCCGCCAGCCGAGGGCCAACCAGTCTCTGATACGACGATTTTCAAAGAACCGCCTCCACCTTCTCTAATGCTGAGTAAGCCGCATCCAAGATTGCATCAAACAGGTTTTGATACCCTAGGCGCCCATCCTTCACTACAACTGAGGGAGATGTAAAAAGGGCACTACTCAAGTTTAATATCCTTGCGATCGCCAATGTCACTGAAATACGCTACTGTAAAGAGTAAACGGAGAATTTGTTTTCGCACTAAGAAGAAACTGATGATCGACGATCCAGAAATTGACGATAGTCCCTGCCGAATGACCTCTGAGGGAGGGTAGATTTTTCACGAATACAGGGTAAACCGCAGTGGACTTTGATTTTGTGTTTGCAAGACCATCCTTAAAAATTGCATTTTTGAATTTTGGTCCATTGCTGGGCGACAAAGGGTGCTAGAGCCTACAGCATCTACTTCATTTCCAACGCCAATTGTCTTTGAAATTGACATTGCCATAGCTTTGGAATTCTTTTTTACCCAATCATCTGCCACTGGCTTGGCTAGAGAAGAAAATGTCTTTAAGGCGCGCATTTCTACACCTAGAATGGTATGCTAATGGGGGAGCCTTGGAGGGCTTGGAGTGCGTCAAGTTAGGAGCATAGAGCCTCATTCTTTTGGATGTTGTATTGCTGTGTAGAGAGCTTGATCTTTCTCTTGGTGGAGGGTAAGTTGTATCCAACATGTTCCATAACAAACACCCAATACTTGCGTCTGCATATATATGTCAGTTTTATCTTCCTTTCGCTTTATGATAGAACTTTTATAGCTCATATGTTGAAAAAATGAAATACTATATACTAACAAGAGAAAAGAAAGGCCTGGGTGGAAGTGGTTGAATTAATTTAAAATAAATTAGACTACGCTTGTATAAAAAAAAAAAAAAAAATAAAATTTATGGAAAAACATGCTACAACTTGTTTGTTCATGCATAGAAAGGATACGTGCTATATATTCTATACTTTTCAAGTTCCAGTGAGGTGAGGTTTTACATTTATCAAGTAAAAAAACATATATATATATAATAGAATTACGAGACAATCAACAATACTTTCAATAATCAGGAAAACACAAAATAATATGTTCCCATTTTTGTCTCCCTTCGCATTTCTGTCTAGTGAGAAAGTAGACAACCTGTGGTGGCTAAGATTAGCCTTAGCCAGACCAACAAAGCAGCATTATGAAACCATGGAAGGGCTTTGCTAACTACATGTGAGCTTGGCCATTTGTGCAAATTTTTTGCACGGTCGAAAGTTGAAGTAAGGGGAGAAGGAAAGAGGCACTGCTTTTCAAGGTCGGAGTTCCCCTTTAGATGGAGCCACAGACTCAAAGTGCACTACATGGTAATTAAAAAAAATTATGAAGGTCCCCACTTTTCTCAAGTTCTGAGGTTCCCTCTTTACCCAAGAAATTTACGAAATTTGGTACAGCGGTAGAAACGTTGCATAGTTAGCAATGGTACGGCCTCGAAACAGAACACTATTGAACTTTTCTTCGAAAAAACAAGTGGTGGGACTCAACTGTATCGGGTCATGAAGTCATGGTGCTTCTCCTACCGTTCAACTTGTAGGCTCCTCACTCTACATCATAAGGTCATGTAGACATGCAAAATTGAAGCGCCACACAATGAAAAAATCCCGTGTTAAGGCGCACCAATGAAAAATCCTTCAATTCTACCTACATTTGAACAACATAACTTGAATCTTGTGAGTGATCAAGTTCTTCCAATTTAAGCACAAACAGACCATAGGGTTTTTAACGTGTTTATTGTGTTGTTTATTGTGTTGGGTGAGGATTGCTAATTGTGGAGTTTTTGGCAATACAAAAAAGCAATTTTCAAGTTCAATACTCGAATTAGAAATTATGCATAGAGAACTCAATGGACCAAAACTGAAACAAAAATTCTGGAATAGATCTAATATCAGCAAGCCATGATTATTATATTAGAAAAGAAAGAAAAACTCTAAGCACTATAGTTTGCATTGACGACTTCGAGACTTGCATATAAGGTCCAGGAGTATAGGTTGCTCCTTCGTACGTTTATTTTGTATATTGTGCAACCGGACCATGTTTTCAAATAATTCTGATATGTGGATTATTATGGAACCTCATGACGGAACTAATCAAAACGAGGAATCTTCGGATTGGTTGCGATCAATTATGTGACGATCTATCGAATTTGTATTCTCATGTCCATACTGGTGGGAGTGCCAAATTAATTGGGAAACTAGTAAAAGAGCTCTTAATTTGTATATGTTGCAGAAATTTGTATAAAGTCAAGGAATAAAGTTGCACGCTTACGCGACCATCCTATGAATTAATCTACGAATCAAGCCAAAAACATACTGTCAAACAAGCCTCTGCAAGTAAAGGAGATGCCTTCATCAAAGAAGATAATGAACTAAGACCCATGTACCCACAAGGAAAACAGACAAATTATAACATAAATTGGACCATAAATTGACTACCTCCCATACCTTGAGCATTTGTAAATGAGAAAGAGAACATGAAGCTTGCAACAGCTATTGGGTCATGACTATGACAGTCACGTACAAAAAAAAAGTAGTTTTCATGCATTGATATCACATATTTGGAAAGAAAAAGAAAATAAAACGAGACACAATTAAAAATAGTGAGTCTTCTCAAACGAGACACAAAAAAGAAAATCATGTGCGATATGATAATGTTACAAAAAGCTTTGGTTTGGGTTGGGTTTGTGAGGAGACACTATCAGAGGTTGTTTCCAGTGAAAGTTCCTATGCAGGGCGGGTGCGTTTCCTTTCTATTTGGACTCCAGGGAAAGATTGTTGGGTGTGGTCTTGATGGTAGTAGGTGGCCCAAAAATCTGTACCAAACTAGTATCTTTATTACCCAGCTCAGCAGACTTGTTTTGGGCGTATAACTCTCCTCCTCCTGCGATAATTGGGAAAGAGAAATGTCTGCCGTCCTTCTACAAGAGAAGTAGTTGGGAGTCATAACTCCAGCTCCCAAGGAAGCGGTCACTGTGAATGTTCCGTGAGGGAAAAGTGACTCACACATGGGTGAGGAACTCTCATGGTAGAGAGAGAGGCTCTCAATGTAGAGAGAGTATTTTAACGGAGGAGCTGGTTATTAAACTTGAGAGGCCTGGGCTTCCAAGCGGGAGAGTGGAACTAAATTAATTGGGCCATCGTAGTTCAAAGATCCAAATAGGGTCTATCCAAGACAATCCGGTCCGACAGCTGGGCTTCCTTTGGGAGCACAAAAAGTCACATACATGAAGGGAATGTGTTCACTATCCTTGCCCAGGATGAGGAATACGGCGCGGATAAAATAGTGTTGATGAGGGGCCATGGTCAGTGAGGGCTTTTTGCTTTTCAGTGCAGAGATGGCGTAACATGGCGATTTGAGAAATCCCGACGCACCTGGTTGCTTATTGGATCCAATCAGGAATACCCCTTAATCTCATGCGTCTGCCCGAGAACGCAGCAGAGATTTGGGGGAAAGCTTGGATCTGTTCTGGAAGTTGAAGATCCCTGGAGCATAGGGTCCACGAGGCTTTCTTAGGAGCCAATTCAGATCGATTGTCGGCCCCCTTAGTTGTGGGTTTTTGGCTTCCAAGACTGAAGGCCTGGCCACATGGGGAATTGAAGTATGTTATACCATATTTGACCAAGCAACTAAAGCAACTCTAGGCAAAGCAAAGATCCCACATTGGAATATTACAAGAAGGGAGGCTCCCCCTCACCTATAAAAGGAGACCACTCTCCCCCTTAGAAAGGATCTTTGGGGCTGGGCTGATATTTAGTCTGGCCTTCTCCTTTCTTACTTTTATATTTGGGTCCAACCTAGGTACAAAGTATAATACACAATATAATAATGAGAATATACTTCTCCGTGGACGTAGACCCATATTAAGGGTGAACCACCGTATAACTTGTCTTTCTGTATTTTATCGCTTGCTCCAATCCTCACACACTTGGTGAAGGGTCCCACTTCACACCCCTCATCCACACACCTCATCACTAAGTTGGCTCCACGATGATTGAACCATTTGAGCGGCAACAACAGTAGGAGAAGCTATACGATTTTGCTATGACTGGGGAGCGGGGGGGTCACACGAAGACGGCTTCGTAAATTCGGGCAAATAGGAGGAGGGGTCGGAAACGGCTCTGCTTCGTGTTTATGTGACTGGATGAAAAGGAAGCCATCGGAACAAGGCGACGGCCAGGGTACCTCCATTACCCCGGGCTGTCCGCCGTGAGCAGGGGAAAGAAGCATCGTCATACCTGTTTCTAGGGTGGCGCGTGTGGGCCACAGCAAATGGAAGGTGGGGGTAGGAGGAAAGTGATGGAGACATTGCCACACACAACCAAGACTAGACGACAACAAACACGGACGAGACTTGTAAGACAATAAATTTGGGGCAAACGGATAACTTCAGATCACATCTCTGGTTAGGAGGAAAGGATGAAAGCGATAGCGCCAAATATGAGAAGGGGGGGGCTAGTTAAGTAGGTTTCACACATGACATGAAGATTTATGCATGGCCAAATAATAGTGTCGGGGAAGTACTAGCTCTTAGGTAGGCGTGGATGTTTCTAGTTGAGGGAGCCTAACGCACGCCACTGGGCCTTGGCCTGAGAGAACAACTACCCAGACCTTGAGGATAACATTCAATGGGCCCATCCAAATAGTCTTTTGGGTCGATGCTCCCCCAACTTGGGCCTTGCTTGGGCTTAGAGAGGGCCGAAAACTCGTAAGTCTTGAGGAGCTTGGATTCCCCAACCTGAGAAGGCTCTAAGCCAATAATCATGTTAAAAAAACAATACTGAACTCCTGCTCTGAGTTTAAACGCCAATGTGGCGTTTGGAAAATGGGCGTTAAGAGAGAAGCTAGTCCAGTTGGAGGTTTTTGAAGGAAGGAAAAAAACCAAAGTCTGAAAGGTGAAGGGCCTAGTTGCTGAGGTAAAGAGTGGAAGGATAAGCAACGAAGGTTCACTAAAAGTCCAAAGCTAGATGACGACGTCACGGGACAGGTTCCCCAGGTAATTGAATTCTCAGAGGAGGGTTGAGGGAAGTGGCAGTGGTCTTGGCGCCAACATTGGAGTTGAGGGACTCACATGTTGAAGTTACAAGTGCAGCAGAAACTGGCGGTGGTGGCTGTCCAAAGACAGCCACACGGGCGCCATGAGTTATCTAGCATGGAATTGTCAGGGGCTTGGGTCGGACCTAACAATTCGGTCTCTTCGAGAGACAATAAAAGGAAAGCGACCCTCTATTTGTGTTTCTCATGGAAACAAAGTAGAAACATAATAGGTTAACCCGGTTGGCAAGGGATGTGGGGTTTGATCATGAGTTTTACGTGGACAGTTGGAACATCTGAGGGCTTATGCTTGTGGTGGGATGACAGGTTTAAAGTAGAGGTTACAAATTGCTCAAAAAATCTTATTGACTCTTGGGTGACTGAGCAAGGGTCGGGTGTAAGATTTAGAGCTTCGTGGGTTTATGGCTCTCCTTATCGGGAAGAGAATGAGGCCTATTAGGGCTGGTTGGATTCGTCTTGGGTCTGTGGCTTTTCCTTGGTTATGCATTGGTGATTTCAATGATATGCTTTGGGATTTTGAGAAGAGAGGTGGAAGAAGGTTGGACACAAAAGGAGAAGATATCTACAGGATTTTCTAGATAAAAAATAGCTGGTGGACCTGGGGTATCAGGGCTCGTCTTTCACTTGGAGAGGGATTAGGGCTGACGGAGTGGTTGTGCAGGAAAGACTTGATCGTGGGCTGATAAATGTGCCTTGGCAGGAAACTTGGCCGAACTCCCATGCCATCCATTTACCAGCTGTGGGCTTGGATCACTGTCCTGTTCTAATTCTGACTGAGACAAATGTCAGGAGGGGATTGAAGCCTTTCAAATTTGAGGCGTTTCTGGGCATCTGATCCTGAATGCAGAGAGGTAGTTGATAGGAGTTGGGGGCCTTGCTCTCCTGCTGCCTCTTGTTTCTCCTGGGACACTAGGTTAGGAACTTGTAGAACCGAATTGAAAAAGTGGAGTGATGGGAAATTTCAAAACAATCGGAAAATGGCCACTACTCTCCTCTCTAATTTTAGACAGTCTCCAACAAGACTGGGAGAAATACCATGAGATCAAGGAAGTGGAGAGAAGCCTTAACCAGGTTTGGAAGTGCGACGAGCTGTACTAGAAGCAAAGGGCAAAAATCCAGTGGCTGAAACATGGTGATGCAAATACAGCTTTTTTCCATAACTGCACAATTCAAAAAAGGCGAAGGGAAACCGTCTGGGAAGAATACAGAATCTTGCTGGAGAGTGGGAATTAGGTGAGCTCACGTGCGGAGTATAATCGAAGATTATTTTAAAAACTTATTCACGTCTGAAGGGCCAAGAGATTGGGGGGGGATATTCTTGCTTTCCGTTCCTGCAGTTATCTCGGACGACATCAATGCTTCTCTTTTGGCCCCGATCTCAGATGAGGGAATTCGAATTACTGTCTTCCAAATGGGGCCTTGAAATCGCCAGGACCTGATGGTTTCTTTGGAATCTTTTACCAAAAGTACTGGAGCATTGTGGGAAATGATGTTTGCAGGTTAGTCAAAAAAATTTTCTCCAACAACATGTCTATGGAAACGTTAAACAGAACTGAGATTGCCTTGATTCCTAAGGTTCCCCACCCGGAATGGGTCACACAGTTCCGTCCTATCTCCCTCTGTAATTATTCCTACAAGATTATTTCAAAGATTTTAGCAAATCGACTGCAGCCTTTCCTGGATAAATTCATCTCGCCCCAACAATGTGCCTTCATTCCAGGAAGACAGATCCAAGATAATGTCTTGGTGGCTCATGAAGCCTTCCACTCTTTAAAGATTAGGAGGAAAACAAAAATTTTGAGATGGGGCTAAAGCTCGACATGAGTAAGGCTTACGATCGGATCGAGTGGGATTTTGTGCAGGCGGTGCTGTTAAAGATGGGCTTTGCTAGACAATGGGTAGGATGGGTCATGAGGTGCTTATCTTCTGTTGAATGTTGTTATTGTCAATGGGAAAGGGGGAAGCTATTTCAACCCGACTAGAGGGCTCAGACAAGGGGATCCGTTATCTCCATACTTGTTTCTTATCGTCAGTGATGTGCTCTCTTCCATGATCAATCAAGCCGTTACCCATGGTTTCATCCAAGGAATGAAATTTGGTAGAGGTGGCCCGGTTCTCTCACGCCTCTTTTTTGCTGACGACTCACTTATGTTTCTCAAAGCCACTGAGAATAATTGCCGAGTGATTGTGAGAATCTTGGACTCTTACTGCACGGCCTCGGGTCAGCTTGTTAATTTTGAGAAATCAAATATGTTCTTCAGCCCAAATACGCCTTTAGAGGTGAAGGATAGGTTAAGGGGTATTCTAAATGTCACCATCTCTGAGGATCCGGGAAAGTATCTTGGGCTTCCAACTATATGGGGTCGTTCGAAAAAGATGGCGTTGGCTTTCGTAAAGGATAAAATTCTGGGAAAAATACAGGGTTGGAAGCATGGCTTACTCTCTCAAGCTGGCAGGGAGGTCTTAATTAAGTATGTTGCCCAGGCCGTCCCGTCTTACCCTATGTCTGTTTTCCTCTTCCCGAACGGTTTCTGTCAGGAGATTGACAGTATTTTGGCAAATTTCTGGTGGGGTCAATCTCAGCAATCAAATAAAATTCATTGGATCAGCTGGAAGGACCTTGGCATGCCTAAGAATGAAGGGGGAATGGGCTTCCGCAACCTGAAGGATTTTAATGTTACCTTGTTGGCAAAACAAGGGTGGAGGATGGTGATGGAGCCTCAGGCTTTTTGGGCACAGTTGCTAAAAAGTAAATATTTCCCGAATGGTGATTTTCTCCGGGCCGGGAAGGGGGCTAAGTCGTCCTGGGCTTGGTCTAGCTTGCTGGTAGGAAGGAATATAATCATGAGAGGTGCTAGGTGGCAGGTTCTTGATGGTAGCCGTGTTCATCTTTGGACTGATAAGTGGATCCCTGGGTGTACTGAGCTTGCTCTGCAACCTAGCCATCTAAGCCAGGTGGATTTGGAGGCCAAGGTTGAGACTATTATTGACTGCCAATCTCGTGAATGGAACTTGGAGGCCATTGGTGGTATGTTTTCACCAAATGCTGCCAAAATTATCATAGCCATGCCTTTGGGTGATGGTTGGGAGAAGGACAGGCTTATCTGGCCTCTAAACCAGACGGGTAGTTACACTGTCAAATCTGGCTATAACATGATTCACATGGCTCACCTTGATACTTCGGTCAGGCCATCCAGCTCAAGAATTTTAGACAAGGCTCTTTGGAAGCTGATTTGGGGCTCTCAGATGGTCCCGAAGTTAAAGAATTTTTGGTGGAGATTGGTCAAGGGTTGCTTGCCAACAAGGGATGCTTTGTTCAGGAGACACCTCGGCACCTCCCCATTATGCCCTATCTGTGGGGAGTTTCCGGAGTCTGTTGAGCATCTTTTTCTCCTCTGTAATTAGGTCCAACCTGTATGGTTTGGGGGTCCTTTGAACTGCAGGATAAACAGGCAGAGCATTACTTCTATGAGTGATTGGTTGATGTAGATTTCGAAGTTTTCGCAGGGCTTGGGATATGATCGGAAGTGGCTAATTTCCCAAATTGTTTACAGTTGTTGGAGTATCTGGAAAAGTCGTTGCTCTGCTATTTTTGATGATATTAGTGTGTGCCCTCGCAGTACTTTGTTGGTGGTAAAAATTTGATAAATGATTTCAATCTTGTGGGGTGTCCTCTTGGGGATGCGATTTTGGAGGAGGATATTGATGATGGCCATAGGGTGGTTAGATGGTCCCCCCCCTCCCACTTCTGTTTACAAAATAAATATTGATGCTTCTTGGGTTAGTTGTACTCTGCAAGCTGGTCTGGGAGTTGTCGTGAGAAATTCGGCTGGCATCTTTATGAGTGGTTGCTGTGGTACTAGACTTGCTTCTTCGGCAATTGAGGCTGAAGCCCATGCTGCTTTAAAGGGGGTCAAGCTGGCTGTTGAAAGGGGGTTCCAAATGTGGTCTTTGAATCTGACTCAAAGGAGCTCGTTCAATCCGTTAAAGGAAATATTTTGAAAGGGAGGTGGATGATTTATCCTATCCTATCAGCTATTCGACGTCATTGTAGCAGTTTTATTTCTTGCTCTTGGCTTTGGGTCCCTCGAGAGGCAAACCGAGCAGCGGATGCTGCAGCTCAGCGAGCTAGAAGGAGGATGTGCGATGAAGTTTGGGCTTCCAGCCCCCCATCCTCTTTGGTTTATGTGTTGCAAGCTAACAGACTTCCTTGCCCCCCGCAGTGCTAGGGAGTCTGTGCTGGAGGCGGACGGGCTCCCCTTCTGGAGGCGTCATAGCTACTGGTCTCTGGCCTATGTTATTCTAGTTGTTGTGTTTTAGTCGTTGTTGTTGTTGTTTGTTCCCTTTCTTTATGTCTTTGGTTGTCTGTTTTTCTCCCCTTTGTTGTCTTTCTTTCGCTTTGAATGAAAGCTTTTTCGACCAAAAAAAAAAGCTTTTGTTTTATCTGTGCCTGTGATCGCCCTTGGGAATATGTCCAGGCCCAAATCGCCCTTGGGAATATGTGCATGTGATCCCGGTTTTTGCCTCACTCCTCATTTCATATGGACAGAATTTGGATGGGCAAAACCTTTTAGAATTTAGAAACGACGGATGAACCAATTCACAACAATTATCCTTGGCAAAACTTACTCACCTAATAAGAAATCCGACTAACTTTATATTTTCCTTACTCACCCAGGAACGGACTCAGGAATCTTATCTCGTAGGGTCATAGTGTAAAGGTTTGTTGGGAGGTGGAGATTGGGGATTTAGGTTTGAGGGTTTAGGAAATGGGGGTTGTGGAGTTCTGAGGGTCTGTTTCTTTTTGGTCGAAGAGGAGGGTCTGTTTCAACATTACAATCTGTTTTATTTAATTTTTTTAAAGACCTAGACCAAAACGACGACGTTTTGACCAGCTCTTTTAAAAAAAATTTGTTGCTACTGGTCCAAAACAAAGGCGTTTTGGCCAACGCGTTTTTTAAAAAATTTCGCTGGGCTGGTTTAAAATGACGCCATTTTGGCCAGCCAGTTTTTTTTAAAAAAATTAGAAGCTGGGCCAAAACGACGCCGTTTTGGTTAGCTTCTTTTATAAATAAAAAAAACAGAACCCCTGTTCACCTTCTTCTTCCTCAGATCTGCAGCCTCCTCCTTCAGCCATTCATGGGTTCACACACCCATTCAAAGGGACCTTCTACCTTGCTTTCATGGAGTCCATAGAGTTGTTTGACCCCATTGACCCCACTGTGGGTCCGTCCCTGATTAAGCCTCTATATATTTGGCTATTTAGTCAAACAATATGGGTAGAATATTTTCAAATTGTATTTCATTCTCCAAAAGGAGGTATTTATAATACAAGGATGTAACTCTAGTATGATCAAAGTAGAAAACAAGATAAAATTCTAATTATACAATATATGTACAAAACGAAATAAATACAGCAAAGATGTCATGCATGCCCAACTTGTCAAGTGAGTTGAGAAATACCGTAGTAGACACAGCTTTCTTAAGAACATATGTCAGTTGATACTCAAATTTAATGGCATGCAATGAGATGGTATTTGTGCTCATCCTTGACAATTGTATGTGGAAAAATGAGACTCAAAGTTTGGTACATTGCATATATTGCCGACTTCCTCAGGAGACATGATGACAAACATTGTATTGACATCATTTCACTCAATCACACAAAAAACATATCCTTTCCCACGATCTAAACAATAAAAAGTAACTATTAATCAATTCCGTAAAATATATAAGAGCATCTCTTACCGAAATGTTAAACTGTCATGTGGAATTCCAACGGTTATAATGGAAGCACAATTTTTTCCAACCAAAGAGTTTATTCTTAGGTGGAAATGAAGGCTGAAACTATAAACAGTCTATTCTTCTTGTTTTACAAACATGTTGGCTTTATTAATACTTTATAATAAAATAACTCAAATATACCTTATTATGATCCAATACAATGCTTGATTTAACAAATATTTCAAACCCTAAACCCTAAACCTAAATTCCTTCTTAAAACCAACACTAGGGATTGTTTCCCTCATCTTTTCTTCAAAGAGGAAAAGAAAAAATTCTGTCAACTTAAGCAGTAAGGTGGACGTGAGCTTCGAGAAAGGTTTGCTTCTCTCTTCGACCATTTCCTCAACCGCATCGGTTCCTATTATTCAATTGCCACGTACGTACCCTGGCCTCAAAGGCAAAGCCAATAGAAATTTCAGCCAAGCCAATCCAATATTCCTGCAGAACTTGAAAATTTGGAATATTTTAGGGTTCTGATACAAAACCAATACAATTATTTGACGAACTTCCAGTTAGGATTTGGATACACAACCGGTGCTCGTCAATAAAAAAAACGGAAGAGGAAGAGCATGTATTAATCTGTTAATTTCTAGTTCATCATCGGTGCTCATCTTGTTAATTCTATAATTTATTTTGTCTTCCATGATAAAGGAATGAATTATAATGGAACAAGTGATATAGTGGCTGACGAAGATTGGGATAAAATTGGAAGATAAATGTCAAATTCTATTATCTATCATCATACCATTTGAATATTAGTTATTTTTTTTTAGAGAATCGCGATAGGATTTTATTGATAGGAAGTGTAACTAGTACAAAAACCAGGCAATATCGTCGGGGATTAGGCGAGTTTCTCTACACATACGGGACCGGTCTTCAGTCTAACTGAGTAGCCTTAACCGCTGGATCGCAAACAGGAGCAGGAACCTAACCATTGGTAGAGTACCCTCCGCGGTCCCCCTAAGATCATATACTCGTAAAAACTACTTATTAGGTCATTTGCAGCCATGGGCTAAAAAAAATTTGGCCACATTTGGCCCTTTAGTCCTCCAACCCCCCTCATTGTAGTCCAGCTTTGGCCAAGACCAAACTTTTTTGTGGGCCCCATGCATGTGCTTTTCAAGAAGAGAAATTATCAAGTGTGGGCAAGAGCACGAAACATCTCGTGCAAATGCATATCTAACAGCCAATATTAAAGGCGTGCTGACGTCAGCTAGCCACTAGGATTTTTTTTTTTTTCAAAATAGCATTTTTAGATGTTATCAACGTATATGTGTCATATATGGAATATTGTCTATAAATAGTAGTTTAATTAAATTAAAAAATACATAGTTGTGGAATGTATGAGTATTGTACCATAGTTTTTCTCAAAATAATAAAATATGACGGACCCTGAAATATAGCTTTACATGTCTGAAGATGGAAAAATTTAGCCTTACACTATTCTTTAAAAATTAATATTTTGGAGGACTAAATTTATAGCCCCAAACTACATTTGGCACTATGACTAGACATGACCTTACAATCCTCAAATAAAACATGAACTAAAAATCTAGAGGTTCCTCGAACCAAGAGATGACCACTCTAATATGTAAAGCAACGAGAACAATGCGGTGAGCAGCCTCATTTGCAATCCGGCGAACATGGATAAAGCCTTCTCCAATGATTTGTGACAACTAAAACTTAGAATCCTTTAAATTAGTTATTGTAAATGGTTACCTATTATCTTATATAACACATGTCAAACTCAGAAATAGGTGGTTAAGAGTATTGGTTATCTGGCATGGGGAAATACTCTTAACCACTTCGCACCTGATTTTTTAATATCATCATTCCAAAGAGTTCTTTGGTGTGGTGAAGTTGGATGTTGAATCCTTTGTGCAATATTTGGTGAGAGCTCAATAAGATTGGTCTTCAAGGGTATGAACATATTTCCTCTCTCCTCTTACATTTGAGAAATGTAGAGTCCTGAGCATGTCAACACTTTGAATCAAAAGATCCATGAAAGAGGTTTAGGTTAAAGCTCTAAAATCAACCTGTTGAGGTCAAAAAAGTCACGGGAAGCCCAAAGATATTTAAAGCCCAATATAACATGTAATGTTGGTCATGCGTTAATTCAAGCTGTATTTTGGGAATTAATTTATTAAATAAATATAGAAATAGTGTACATGACATGCCAAACCAATAATACATTTTTCTTGTACCGATCACCTACCAAGCTCACATGAACCCCAAGTCATGTGGTTTATGGGGCTTGCACGAGGGATTGTGGTGTGGAAGGTTACGGAGGTTCATAAGGCCCACGGAAGCTCTTGGATAATGGAGATTTTGGGCTAGCTACTTATGAGCACCAAAGTCCAAGCCTATTACTTAGAGTTCTCCAATGTGGGTGAGCAAATGAGATATTCTTCAAGCACTCCCTATTACCCACTGGAAATAAGCCAATTCTGACACTTCTTTTTACCCATAGGAAATAGTCATTTTTCTATGCCTAACTGTACCTATTGGAAATAAGAATGTCACAATGCTTCCTTTTACCCGTTGGAAATATACTAGCTCCAACACTTCCTTTTACCTATTGGAAACCAAAGAGAGCTTTCACCTTCTATAAATTGGGAGGCATAGCCCATGCAAAACCAACCCCTCTTAGTTGCTGCAAGCCTCTCAGAAACGGCGAGAATTCACCTTTCTTCAGCTGCTGCAAGCATTCTAGCAGCCATGACAGTCATTTCTGAGCCATCAACCTCCATGCTTTAGCTGCTGCAAGCACCGTAGCAACTATCGACCAACATCTCTTGGTTGTTCAAGCACCCCAGCAACCATTAGACCACCTTCCTTCCTCCCTTTAGTTGCTGCAAGCATTCCAGGGCCTTCCCAGCCATTCCTTAGCAATCACAACCATGTCTCCTACTTTCTCACCCTTGAAATCTATCATATACTTTATAAAGCTCCTCCAATCATAACCCCAAGCTTTTCCTTCCTTCCAAGTTATAAACATCATAGCCTTCAAACCTCAAGCTTTCCTTCCATCCTCCTTCTCTTGAAACTCTTAAATCCATAAAGCCCCACCAAGCATAACTCCAAGTTTTTCCTTCCTTCCAAGCTATAAACACCATAGCCTCCAAACCTCAAGCTTTTCCTCCCATCCTCATTCTCTTGAAACTCTTAAATCCCCATAGCCATAGTCATAAACAACAAATCATTAACACCCAAACTCAAGCATATCCAACACCAAGCCAAACACATGCATTCTTATTTGCTAAACTTGGAGTTCTTTAGCTCTCACACTCCAAGCTCTCATGCCAAGCTCACACAATCTTTGTTCAACATTAGCAAGTCATCTTCAACCATTCCAAAAGCGCGATTAAGCATTCGTCAAGTTGCTGGAAATCTACTCAAGCCACTTATCCTTCTCCTGATGATAGTTAAGAATACGCTCAGTGAATAGTTAAGAATACGCTCAGTGAAGGGGCCAAGGCTTGGCTTTGTCCAAAGGGGCTGATGGCTGCAATGGTGCTCATACTCAAGACGTCAGACCTTCTCAAAGAGGAGTTGCATGGCAGGGTTGGCATGGGGAGAGAGCATCGGGTGACGATGACTTGTTTCGTTGGTTGGGTGAGGGTGGAAGGTTTCCCATTCCTCGAAAGCTTCAGAATGATAAGGCTCCCAGTCCTTAGGATTGTAAGATTCCCAATCATCTGAGTCCCCCACTCATTCTTGGGTAGGCAAGTGGGCGGGCTTCGGGAGGGGACCTAGGTGTGCCACCCTTAGATCGTCGAGGTCGACAAGAATAGGGATGGGCTTTGGTCGAAGCTCCGAGATGCGGTCCCTGCAATCCTTGTAAATCTTGTTTGGGGCATGAGGCCGATCCCTTAGTGGGGAGATGTGGAGGAGCCTCGACTTGGTCGCCTCTAGATGAAGGTGTCCTTTGCCTTTGTTAGGCCTAAACTGAGTCGGGGCACTATGGCAGGAGACAACTGGCTGTTTCAGTTGGGTGCGTTCAGCACCCTGGGTGAGGTCCTGCTGGATGAATTAGTGGTGAGTGTTCTCCCAATTCCACTTCAAGGTTCGGTAGTCATGTTCTAGTTCGGCATTCTTGGTACGAAGGTGATCATAGCTCTTCGTGATCTTGGCGACATCGGCACTAGGCCCAGAGGTGCTTATAGGCAGAAAGCTTCTTTTGAGATGAGTCCCCATGTGGGGTGGGGTGTTGGGTACCAAGGCTAGCTTCACTCAGCATAGTGGAGTGGGAAGGGCAGAAGAGGCAACGAGGTCGGATGAGAAAAAGAGCCAGCAGGACTGGTAGAGATGTGGGATTCAAAAGTCAATTCCCATAGACTGCGCCAAACTGTTGATGCTCTTTTTAGGATGGTCAACTTAAGTGAATGAGTGGTGGATCTTCAGCAGGGCAAGAAGGCTATTAACCTTCGACGTGGAGGGGTCCTACAGAAGACAATAAGGAAGAAGCAATCGTCAAGCTTCAGGCACCGGTATGGTACTTGCCGAAGGCTTTCCGATGCTTAAGTCAGCAAGTATATATGGTAATTTTGGCAGAGTAACAGTAAAAATGAAAAGTAGTTACCCCTTTTTACTTGGGCACTGTTCCTATTTATAGGGAAGTGAAAATGAGAGATTTGTACAAAGTTTCGATGTGAGACTTTGTGTAGACTGTTGTGGGGGTGACGTGTGTCCGTAGTCTTATGTTATGTAGTCGAGAGCTTCAGTAACTGCCTTCAGCAAGCAGTTGTTGCCTCAAAGGGGCACCATGGTGTTGCTGATGTTATCTTTTGCAGGCTTGCGCTGTTCATGCTTCGATTCCTAGTGCCGAATGTACTCAATTGAATATGGTATAAACAATACAATATTATTAAATTTTACTGGGAAGTTACAACGTAAAGGGTGAGGATTTGTATTAAGTGAAGGTAGAAAGAGTGACTCGTACAAAGAGGTTCGGATTAATAATTGAAATGATGTTTTGAATATAAGATAAATTATTAGAGGGAGAAAAGTTTCTCACACACTCTACAAGGATGTCATAATTCGAATTTGAGACCACTACAAGTTAAGGTCTTTTTTTACTGGGCTAGATCCGTTGGCTATTATTGACAATTAATTTTGAGTTTGTTGCTCATATCCTAATTGAAAATCCCCTCATATAAATAATTAATTTTGATAGAATTGTTTGCATATAAAAATTAAGTTATATTTTTCATTTGATTTGCAGGGGACCACCCCGAACATTTTTCATTCTGGAGTTTAAAAAGAAGACATGATCGAAAGACCATAACACTTTAAATCCCCACCACTTGTCTTCGTGGAAGATTACTAATATTGCAACAATTTCTGCTAGTTGTACGAAATCTTTTGTAGTTTTTGTGGAATTATATTTATCTTGGAAATTTTTCACTAGCTAATGGAGAGGAAATGCATGTTGCTACTCATTGCAATTGCTAGGCTACTTAAGATACCTTTGCAATCACTTAATAGTAATTAGGTTGCCAACAAAAGGGTATATTTAGGTTGTTCTTTTCTGTGAAAAAAAGTGATATTTTATTATTGATACTAAAATGGAACACGAGCCAAGAGAATTAGACGAGTTTCTCTATGCATAAGGGAAAAGTCATTAGACTAACCAGTAGTCTGCCTCCCCTCACCTTGCCAGGCGATTAGAGAGAACCTTTATCCCCTGATAGAGTACCCTCATGATCATTATGATTATCACTATCCATAAAACTAATAAGTTTTCTTCTTGTACATATATATCTTTGTGTGAGTTGAGTTTGTGCTATGATTCACATTATTCATTACGTTTTCCCATCACATTATTCATTACGTTTTCCCAGCCCAGGGCTTTGAAGTGCTTCCAAGTGGTTCTAAATTTAAATTTTCATAGTACCCGTGTGTGTTAGTTTTTCCTTTTCCTCTTTCTAACTTTGGCCACGTGAAAAAACATAGTAAACTTCATTTATAAGTTGTAAATTCTGTAAATCCTTCATCATTATATATTCCCCCTAGATACACCACAAGACATTTGGCTTTTGCCTTGGATTTCATAAGTAAATAAAAAACTTGCCCATACATCAGAAGACACTTAGCTTTTATTTAGGGTTACAAGTACCCTTAGAACACTAACACTAGAGTTTCCACCCTTAATTGAAATCAATGGGATATACAGGCTGTTTGTTTGGAAAGAACAGCCCAAAGTTTCTCTCAGTCTCTTCTCCATGTTTCTGATTCTCATTAAACATGGCAAATATATAAGTCTCAATGGGGCCTCCAGGTCTCTTTGGCGTCCCTCCCTTCACGTGCTTGATCAAATTTGAGTTGTAAATTCTCGCATTCTCCATCGTTGTCACTGTCCCATCCCCGCCAGCCGAGGGCCAACCAGTCTCTGATACAACGATTTCCAAAGAACCGCCTCCAGCCTTCTCTAATGCTGAGTAAGTCGCATCCAAGAGTGCATCAAACAGGTTTTGATACCCTAGCTGCCCATCATTCACTACAACTGAGGGAGATGTAAAAAGAGCATACTCAAGTTGAATATCCTTGCGATTGCCAATGTAACTGAAATACGGGTACATGTTAAAGAGTAACGGAGATTTGTTTCGCACTAAGAAGCTGATGATTGGATCCAGAAATGGACGATAGTCTTGCCCGAATGAACCCTCTGATGGAGGGAAGGATTTTTCAAGAATTACAGGGTGAACCGCAGTGGAGACTTTGATTTTGTTTGCAAGACCAGCCTTAGAAATTGCATTTTGAATTTTGTCCATTGCTGGGCCAACAAAGGGTGCTTCTGAGGCTTTTACTTCATTTCCAACCGCAATGTATTTGAAATTGACATTGCTATAGCTTTGGACATTCTTTTGGACCCAATCATCTGCACTGGCTTGGCTAGAAGAAATGTCTGCAAGGCGCTCATTTTCTACACCTAGAATGAGCTCAATTGGGGAGCCTTGGAGGGCTTGGAGTGCGTCAAAGTTAGGAGCATAGAGCCTCATTCTTTGGATGTTGTATTGGTTGTAGAGAGCTATTACTTCTCCTGGTGGAGGTAAGTTGTCTCCAAGTGTTCCATAACAAACACCAATTGCTTCTGCATGATCGGATTCATATATATGTCAGTTTTTCTTATTTTCGCTTTATGAATAGAAATTTTATATAGCATCCATATATGCTGAAAAAATTAAGTACATATATACATACAGGAGACAAGCGAAAGCCTTTAGACTATCGCTTTCGCTTGTCTCAGAACAAAACAAAAGTATGCTAAGGCACTACAAACTTGGAAGTCATGCATATACAAGGTATACGTGTATATATATATACTACAATTTAAGAGAAATTTTTGACAAAGTTCGGGTGATGTGCATGTTTTACATTTATATCAAATGAAAAAATAATAATATAATAGAATTAAAGAAACAATTAACAATAATTTAAGTAATAAGAAAAAACACAAAATAATATATTCCCATGTTTTTCTCTCTTCCTATTTCTTGTCTATGTGAAAAAGTAGACAACCTGTTGTGGCAAGGGTAGCCATTAGCAGAGCACAAAGCAGCATTATGGAAACCATGGAAGGGCTTTTGCCAACTACATTTGACTTGGCCATTGTGCAAATTTTTGCAGGTCGAAAGTTGAAGTAAGCTAAGAAGGAAAGAGGCACTGCTTCTCCAAGTTCTGAGGCTCCCTCTTTATAGATGGAGCCACAGACTCAAAGATGCAGTCCATGGTAATTAAAAATTCCACCAAGAAATTACAAAATTAATTTGGTACAGCTTGCAGAAAACGTTGCATCAATTAGCACGGTCCTGCCCGAAACACACCCTATTGGACTTTTCTTCCACAAAGACAAGTGGTGGAGAATCAACTATATTTGTGTTCATGATGTCTATAGTCTTCTAACCACGTCTAAATTTGTAGGCTCCACTCTCCATCACTAATGTGCGCGTAAACTGTGCAAAATTGAAGCTTTTAACACCATATACTCTCTGCATATAGATGTACAGATTTTGACATGTTCCCTCATAGTATAAGAGTATACGGAGGGCACATAAGGTGTCTATGATTGGATTGGATTGGATAGCTCACTCGATTTAAGATGTATATATTGAAGGAAGAAATTGAGGCAAACTTTCAAATCTTGTACAAATTGAAGGTATTGGGCCAATGATAATCCCCACATACACACCTTATAACTAATCTCTTTTAATGCCCGCACAATGAAAAATCCTTCAATTCTAACTTCAACATAACTTGAATCTTGTGAGTTATCAATTTCAATCCAATTATAAGCACCAAACATGGCCGTAGGGTTTTACGTGTTCATAGTTAGTGTTTATGTGTTTTATGTATATAGCTGTAGAGTGTTATTTGTTGGGTGAGGATGCATTAATTGTGGACCAAAACTGATAACAAAAATTTCTGAAATAGATCTAACAGTCAAGCAGGCCATGATTATTAGTAATACAAATAAGAAAGAAAAACTCTAAGCACTATAAGTTGCATTGACTGACTTCATAGACTTGACTTACTGGTCCAGGAGTATATATGTATGTTGCTCCTTTCTTACGTTTAAATGACTTGAAATATTGAAATTGATCGCCAACCACCATCTGATGGCTCATTTGGCATTTTAGGCGACAATTACGGCTAATTAGCCTATTGATTTTTAATAGCTAGTTAGGCTTCTTGCCTGTGGATTTTGCCACTGGTAGCTGCAATCATCATCCTATTTTCCTTGGGCTCTTGCCTTAGATCGGTAAAGCTTAGTCTGTCTAGCCCAGTGAAAAAATGACATTGACTTACAGACCAGAAGTCTCAGGTTCGAACCCCAATAGCATCTTAGTTGTGTGTGCTTGAGAAAAGCCATTTCTCTATAATTTAGACCATCGTTTTTATTCAAAAAATAATAATAATAACAAAAATAAAGCTTGGCTTGTGGACAATTTTTTTTTTTCAAAAGTAAAACATAAAAGTATATATACATAAAACTTGCCCTGGTGCATTGTGAATCGAAGAATATTCCACCAGGTCCTGTGGGTTTAGGAGACCACAGACATCATGAACACATAGAGGTGGACCCAAAAATAAAATTAAAAAAATAGTGGGAAATAGAAAGAGTACCTCTAGTCGTTGAGCCAAAATTAAAAAAAATTAAAAGAAATACGGTTATTATAAAGCATTAGGATTTTGCAACACAAGTCTAACCGTTGCATTGTCTCCAAATCTAACCGAAGGCAAGGGGACCTCGCTTTGATATGAAAGCCTCTTTTTAGGACACAATTCTTGTCCATATTTACGTAGTTTAATTTAACTTTTATATATATTGAGTTTTCAATGTAAAATTACAAATTCGAGGTTAATATTATTGACATGTCGAATTAGATTAGATCTATAAAAGAAAAGAAATTAGAAGGATCCCGGTTTTTGCCTCACTCCTCATTTGATATGGACAGAATTTGGAGGGCAAAACCTTTTAGAATTTAGAAACCACGGATGAACCAATTCACAACAATTATCCTTGACAAAACTTTACTCACCTAATAAGAAATCCGACTAACTTTTTATAGTTGGGAAAGGATTAAGCCTCTATACATTTGGCCATTTTACTCTCAAGTCTTAACAAGTTGTACAATTGTATGTATCACTTTCTGCTAGACTCATCAGTCCTCAAAGTTTTTCCTTTCTCTTTGTTTGCCGTTTACAATTTCTTCTGCGTCAATAATGGGTCTTCCCTATCAATCTCATCACCAAGAGAAAATCAACAAAAACATTCCCATGTTGTTCTTGCTTGGAGAATTCTCTAGGGAATCAAATCATGCTTGGTCTAAAAACCACACCTCCAAATCCAAGCTCGTCAAATTTCGGCAACTCGAGGACCAAATGGAGTGTCTCACATCCGGGTTTGGTTTGTTGCTCATACAGTCTCGCAACACCTCCTCCTTCTTCTTCAACCCCTTTACGCATCAAAGAATCAACCTCCCATACCACGACAGCATTGTCACTGCCGCGGCGTTTTCAGCCTCCTCCACCTCCCCTGATTGCACTGTTTTCACCTATAGGATGCCCAATGTCTTTGGCGTCCGTATTGACACTTTGATTGTGGGACAAGAAACTTGGACTCGTCATGTTTTCGTGCGAGATCCAAGCTTCTTCAGTGGTTTGATCCAAGTAATGCTTCTATTGTGTGCATCCATATGGAAAAGTTGGCCTTCTCAAAATTTTAAAAAAAATCACTCTCGACCCTAAGCCTCCTTCCTTTTAGTGTTTCTACTAAAAAGTTGTATGATAGAAGTGTGAATTTGTGAAGGTAAAGAGTCCCACATTAAAAAGTTGAGAAATCTAGCAAGGGCTTATAAGGAGTTGGGCTACTCCCCCCATTGCCAATTGGTTTTGGGGTGGAACCTCAACTTCCTTCATGGTATCAGAGCCACGTTGCCCACGTTTGAAAGCCCAACGGTCACACGTGCTCCACGTCACCCAAAATGTGTTGTCCACGTATTAGACTTGAAAATTTGCCACACGTGCGAGGGCGTGTGAGAATGTGAAGGTAAAGAGTCCCACATTAGAAAGTTGAGAAACCTAGTAATAGCTTATAAGGAGTTGAGCTACTCCCCCCATTGCCAATTAGTTTTGAGGTGGAACCTCAACTTCCTTCATGGTATCAGAGCCACGTTGCCCACGTGTGAAAGCCCAACGGTCACACGTGCTCCACATCACCCAAAATGTGTTGTCCACGTGTTAGGCTTGAAAATTCACAACACGTGCTGAGACGTGTGAGAATGTGAAGGTAAAGAGTCCCACATTGGAAATTTGAGAAACCTAGCAAGGGCTTATAAGGAGTTGGGCTACTCCCCCCATTGCCAATTGGTTTTGGTGTGGAACCTCAACTTTCTTCATGGTATCAGAGCCACATTGCTCACATGTGCCACGTCACCCAAAATGTGCTGTCCACATATTAGGCTTAAAAATTCGCCACACGTGCGAGAACGTGTGAGAATGTGAAGGTAAAGAATCTCACATTGGAAAGTTGAGAAACCTCAACTTCCTTCAAGAAGGCACTATAGATCCTGAGAGGATCCTCCTTGTAATTAATTTTTGTTTTCAAAACAAAAACTAAAATAAAACTACAAGATAATACACCAGAGAAGGCATTAAAGATGGACATCTGATGACAGAATTCACTTCGATTTTATATCAGAAAATGGGTGTGGGCATGCGCAATGCCTTCAAAATCCGAGATACCTGCAAAGTTTCATCGAGATGTACGCTTCTCATAAACAATGTAGAAAATAAAGTCCAACTCATACATAATCAAGTTTCTATATACACGTACAAATGGACTGTGCTGCAATTTAGTTGTCCGACACACCAGAGCGTGGCTCGATTATACTTGCATATGAATCATGATCACTGCAAGGTCATGGATGATGGAGGGAACTTCCAATGTCAATGGACTGGGTCACATTTAGCCTCCAAATCTTTAATAGAAATGTTACCGCCTAAACAGGAAGGCAATCCATTGCAAATGTCATCACAAAGATCCTTCAAGCAGCATTGTGCCATCGGATGTAGCCCAATTTCAATTTCACATTTGAATAATGCTCTTCACTCGGGATCTCCGTAACCCAACTATCTTTCGAACATCATTTTCCTTAAAATCGTAACTGCCTTGTCAAAAAGCGCATCATTTTTGGCCAGATACTGTTCAGCTGCATGTTCAGTACTAAACACCTTTCGTCCTATGAGGTAACTGCTTCCTTCTTTGGCAATGAGACCATGCTCACAAGCCAACTGAAATACCTCAGATTCAAGGCATAAGCCTCTCCCAAACTGTATCCCCAGATCAGCCTTCTTCATCGCAGGTGCTAATTTATTTTTCACCACTTGCACAGAAATCCCAAGACCTGTAACCTATAACAAGATGGAATTTATGATCAAATGAAAGAATAGAATTTCTCAGACGGAAACAGTAAAAAATCTGGCAAGCAAAATTTTGAAGTAAAGAGTAAACTAAAAGATGGAAACTTCAGTTACCATATAAATTGAATATCGTTCTGCATCTGTTTATGGAAATGTAAATGCCCCACACACAAAGCACTAAGGAGCTTTTACCACCACTGTCTAAGTAGCTCAACCTAATACTAAGCAATAGAGTTTTTGATACATCTACATAATTGTCAAGTGAAATGCTCGCAAAGTGGCCCTAAACCACATTAACCTGAGGAATGACAACACCATGCTCTCTTGGTGCTCAACTTTCAGGGAAGGACATGAGATTGCACACACTGAAATTCATGGACAAAAGTATGCTTCAATTGCAGAAGCAAACTTTTTATTTTACAGCTTTCTCTTTGCAGCCCTATTGCATTCCATTTAGTGTTCTTTGGTTTCAGGCTTGCTCCTTTAAGGACGGGCATTCTTTGTCCTATTAGTTTTCTTAAAAAATTAGTTTATTGTTTTGATTAGGAAAAAAAGCAGCATTGTGGTACTCTTCTTTACTACTCCAACTGCTCAGAACCAATGTTTTAAAGGGCAAGACGTTTTTGACCCCGTAAGGCGATGCATCTGCCTTTTCGAACATGTATTATTTTAATTAAAAACATACATAAATAATATAATAAAATAGTTCAATATAACTGCTAACTGTTATTAAGCATAAAAATCAATCCCAACACACAAGATATTCCTTCAGTCAAATGATATCGTTACAAAACAAACGATGCAATTATTCATACCACTTTATTTCTCGAGTGGAACGTGGGAGGGGAAGAGGGGGTTGTGCAGTTGAAAACTTAAGGATTGACACGGATATTTAGGCTGTTAGTATCAAGTAGGTGGGCCTTGAGATGAAAGAAGAGGTTGTGCCAAAAGAAACTTTAGTGTTTCAAAAATTAGAATAATGAAAGGGTGTTTTTTAAGCCTTTAAGTGAAATGGCAAGTTTCACTTTGAACCAGCCTGAGATAAGGCACTACAACGGTGCTTTGAACAAAAGAAGTAGGGCACGAACACTCTTCTTCCTTGCCTCACTTACACATCAGCTGCAATTTGCAGCACATCAGCCGCGATTTGCAATGCATCTGACAGCTTCAGTGGTTTCACGTAAGTTAAACGGTAAGTGAGCTAAACAAAATGCTCGCCTCAAGGTGCACCTAGGCAATGCTTTTTAAAACTGTGCTCACAACATCAAAGAAACTGGCATTTTGCGGAGAACTATTAGATAGTCTTAACAGATATGCCGATATATTTGACCAACAGCGATTTGACTGATCGAAAGAGACCAACAGCACAACAGCATGAAGCATCAAGAAGCATTAAGCGCAGCATAACATCAATAAATTTGTTCACAAAATGAGCATATCTCAAAATAACCTTTGATAACTTCTATGTATTCTTGTCATTACTAAACTAACAAAAGATTTACCTTATCCTCAGTCTTAAGCAACCGTGTCCTTTTTATTCTCAGTCGTACTGCCGCATAGAATCTCAAGGCATTTCCACCACAAGTAACCTCATCCATAGGTCCAAAATCTTGCCCTGCGCTTGGACTTGATCTAACCTGGATACCCAAAAATAAAATATTAGATAGTAAACATCATTTCTCCTTCTGCAGCTTAAAAGACAGAATTTATAACAGACAATAAATAGGTAAAAAAGTTCAAGTAGGGTGGCAATAACCTGATTAACAAAAACGATAAGAGTTCGAGAACGGGATAATGAAGAATGTATTTTTCGTAATGCTTGGGTTATAATTCTTGACTGTGCATCTCGGTATGCACCATCAATTACAACATCAAGTTCGCACTGGGGGACCAGGGCAGCTACCTGAAATATCAAAGTATCCCAAGCAATAATTGTTAGTTTCTTTATCCATGAAATACTCTAAAACAATTAATAGTATCATCTACATCCATGACAACACAGCAGCATAAATTCATCCCATTAAAGAAAAGGAAAGGGCAAGTCCAATAATGAACTCTCTAATTACATCCAACAGTCAACTCAATTAACTTATCTTTATATATCTCATTAGTTACAAGTCGAAGAGCATTTCAGTTCCTAGTTTGTCTAATCACACCACGGGTATACCTTCTTTGATTGGTATTTAAAATACAGCAATTTGACAATGTCACCTTTCCTGCTCATAACTTGATGACAGCATATCTTTGCCAAATGACAAAGGCTCCCTCAAACAGAGGGCTGAGCACCACTATCATGTATGTATAATATGTTTTTCTATAATATCAGCATTTTTTGTGCCGTTATTGGTGTTTAAAAACAGGTAGATATGTCTTTTCTTCATGGACAATGGAAAGCAAAAACTGGGAAGCTATGTTGGTAAGAGACATCCAAAATATCCAATCTCAACAAAGCGTAACATCAAAAGAAGCAAATTCTCCAATGAATAACGCCACAAGCATATTTAGTTTTAATCACTTACACTATCAACCACAATTACATCCAAAGAACCACTTTTAGTCAGAGTGTTAACCACGTTTAGCACATTCTCAGCTGAATTGGGATGTGAAAAAAGAAGGTTTTCTGTGTTTACACCCATAGATTCTGCAAGTGAAGGATCCATTGCATTCTCTATATCAAGATACGCACAATATCCTGGCCAAAAGGACAGTCTGGTTAAGCAATTATAATAATGAACTGAAAAGAGGCGATATAGGACAACATAATTATCAGAATTAAACAAATGGCTAGCAGGGCATATGATATACCAGCCCCATACATAACAACCAAATAAATGAGAAATAGGTCAAAACATCAAATGATTAGGTGAAAGTAATTAAGCCTTATATTGGTTTCATTTCTAGTTTCTAAGAGAGATGAACTACTATGATTTTACTGCCTTTAATATACATATGTGTGTGTGTGTGCTTTCCCCCTATGAGAAAACTAAAAGAAACATTTTCTATCTAACTTGTATGAGACTTCTCATAATAGGAAGGAAGATTAGAAAATACGAAACCCAGGGCACTTAAATAACATTTTACTAAATAATTTAATTTCACAGGAGTGAGGAGATGCAAGAAAATTGCACATATTTCATACTCAAAATATATAAAAAAATATACAAAACGATACACAGAGAGAGACAGAGCCAAATGGAGAAAGAGACCTTAAGAGAGAGCAACATCTCTTCTTAGTAAGATAAAGATATTACCAACTACATTGTTCCACTGAGTGGTTAGTAAGTTCTAAAAGTTCAAGTACGAGGGTCTATACCAGATCACATTATAACTCTCTGTATGTGCTTTGCTTTGAAGCATTTTTGGGTTAAATAGTGAATTTCATTAAGAGCAAATGGTCTCTGTCAAGGACAGAGTCAAGAAGATGGCAAGCCTTATGGGTAAGTTGCATTCATTGTAACTTTTTCCTATAAAAAAATACCAAGCTCTGTTATATGGAACAAGTGCCCCTATGAGTCACATATAGGGATTTGCTCCTACGAAGACAAATAGAAAGAAATTAACATAAAAACAGATACCATGAAGTCATTCAATATTTCTTACCAGGTGCTAGAATGAAATAAGTTTTCATGTAGGGATGTTTCAAATTTTCAATCTAGTAATACAGAGGAACATGCTGGTTGGAACATCCATTTGCAGATACAGGAATCTTTGAGGTTTTTCCATGATTTGAATGGTCATATGACTTGGGACCCTAATGTTGTTAATATGGAAATTTCCAGGTCTGTAGGCCTGCCCTTGAGAGAGATGTTGCAACAGTTTGCTAGGAATTTTTTAGGATCTTGATTCCTTTACAAAAAGTTTCAGTGCCTCCACTGCTCTAACCCTGAAGAAACCTGGACCTTCTCATTAAAGATTTCAGACCAATAAGTTACACTCGCAGTGTGTGTGAAGGGATAGTTAAGATACTGGCTAATAGGTTGAGGTTAGTAGTGGGTGGAAGACCCGTAATCTATGTGGTTGTGGTTACTCAATAAGTATCGCAGTACTTCTATTTGGAAGGCTATCACTCACTGTATTATGCTGTATATATGGAGAGAAAATAGTGCGGTCCTATAAAGTCCACCGATTAAAACTATGTTATCCTCTCGTCCCTAAATCAATGGATATCAGTTTTGTATTTCGTCTCATGTTCTACCATTCAGAAATTTCAGTTTTCTATAGATATATGCTCCTACTGTGTGTACCTTCATGTACTGGGGGCAATTCCCTTCTCTTCTATAAAACTTCATTTCCTTATGCAATATTATACACACACAGAACAAAACTAAAGCATAAAATATTTAGTTTATGTACAGTGGATGATCAGAGTTTTACAAAGATGAGCAAAATGGCATCTTCCGTGTTCCTTATCAAACTGAGTCAGTGAATATATTATTGTCTCCACTTCCTATACAAAGAATGAGACCACAAATTAAATACACACCTCCAAGCTTTTGAGCTTCCTTGATGATGTGAAGTGCAAGTGTGGTCTTCCCAGATGCTTCTTGCCCATAAATTTCAACGATTCTTCCCTGCAGAGGGCAATGTACATTTCAGACTAGAGTTCTAAAATTGACACTATTTCATCCATTTGCAGCTAAAAAAGAAAATCACATGAATTCAATGCACCTATATTTGAAATTATAGGTAACCTGTCTGTTTTCATCCTACAACAGACCTGTATCAAATCCTACCATCATCAAGCCATATGCAGAATTTCGGAATTTCCGGGTTAGATTGGGGTAAAGAGGTGGCTAAAATTAGTTTTAATGAAGAAGTAATAGGTACACAATTAACTACCTTTGGTAATCCTCCAATCCCAAGAGCTAAATCAAGCTTCAAGGAGCCAGTGGAGATGATTGGTGGACGTCTTGAGCGAAAAAACCGCTGCAAAGACAACATAGACTCTCTACCGAAATCGCCAGAAAGCCGTGAGAGCGCCAAACGCAGTGCAGCATCTTTTTCTCTTGCTTTGGCATCATCATTATCATCACCATCCAGCAGACCATCACATTCAGCTGTGAACAATAAAGCATCAAAATTTCTGCACATAACAAACTCTAAATTCCAACGGAAGCAATGTGAAAATTACCAACACAAGTTGTCGAATATCTTCTTCCTCTCTGGAGCAAAAACACCAAAACAATAAAAATAAATGTTACTTATTTTGAATTAAAAAGAATTTATTCTACTGTAGGTTCCTTGAAGAAAACAATCAGAGAGAGAGACCAACCAACCTGGTGGACGGAGCAGAGTAGAGAAGAGAGGCGCGGTTGCTTGAAGAAAGCCAGACCAAGACGTTGTGCAAGTAGAGGACGGAAGAGCAACCCCATTTCCTGATGTGTAATTTCGTGAATAAATGTGGTCTGAGGGTTTAAGAAGGAAGAGAACTTTTTGAGGGTTTTAGGGTTTTTGAGTTCTGAAAGTGTGGCGCCATTTCGGCTCACAGCTCTCAAGTCTGAACTTTCCCCGCTCTACACATATAGTGCGTCTATGGCCACTCTCTACAGCTGCTTCTTGTGGTTTTGGGCCTTAGCTGTTGCGCCTTTTTTTCTCACCTTAGCCCATAACGACTCAAAATTTCTTTCTTCAAACTAAAATTTCTTTTATATTGCCATTAAAAGATGAAAGTCATAGTGTATTTCTTTGTTAGGGTTTGGATGTAAGTTTGATTACGGTTTGGAGGTGAATATTTATAAGTAAACTCGAAGGTGGTTGATTTCAAACGGTGGGTAGATTTAAGAATTAAAATAAGAAGTTAAATTCCGATTACGAATTACTCATATGTTTACTTGACATAAATGAATGAAAAAGTGAACGGGCCCACAAAAATTCAAGAATTCAACTCCTCATTTTGGAGGAGTTAGACTCTTGGGAAGGAATGAGGTATTCTAATTCCAAGAGAGCTAGCCCATCAGGAATCCATCTTTTTTATCTATTATATCCTCACAAATTTTAAAATTTCAAATTTGTCATCCTTTTTTTTTATTCGAAAAAGAGTTCAATTACCAAAAAACAAAACAAAACAAAACAAACAAAAAACACGCGAGCACACAAGCCCGAAAAAGATCGAAATAAAAGGAAGATGAACACACCAGGGGAAGACCATTCTCCCAAATCTTGGACGGCAAGAGATTATGACCCAAATTAGCAATACCACTAGCTATAAAGTTTGTTTCCATGTTCTGTAAACATGTTTGCAAGATACATCATCACAAAGAGAACAAAGTAGGAAGATGTCCTAGATCAAAAGCTTGATACTCTAGAGGGGAGCTGCCATCTGATTAACACAATCAATGACAACCTTTGAATCTCCCTCAAGTATAATTTTATGCCAACCCTTAGAGCAAGTCCAACACTAGGGCCTTGCCCTGACAACAGGCCCCCCCAAAGCCCAATTTCCACCTCCAGCGCATCAAACCCAGCCTATGCAAGGCATGGGACCCACCAGCCCAAGCAAGCCCACGAGCAAATCTGGACTGGGCTCTTGCCTGAAGGTGCTAACATCAGCGTGATGTCAGCGTTGACCCACCAGACCACATAGCCCAATGGCTACAAGCCACGTGACTTCTCCTAGAGCCTCCGATCAAAAAATCTTACCCAATCCAACGGCTATCCAATTTTTGGCTTAAAAAAATTGAAAAAAATATCAAAAATTTCTGAATTTTTTTTCTATAAATACCTACCAATATTATTCACTTTCTACACCAAATCTTCATACAAATTCATCTCCTTTCAATATTTTTCACTTTCCACACCAAATTTTCTATTACAAAATTCCATTTGTGCAAAAATACAAATGGCCTCTTTCATCGAAGCTGGAGGGCCATGGACAAACGTTCGAAGATATCAAAATCTTGGCAACGAGGTAAAAAACAAAATAATTGCCGTTTTATTCAATTTAATGTCAATTATATATATATATATATATATTTCTTGCATTTCCAATTTCATTTTTTTAATAGATTATTCAAGGCAAAACAAAAAAGAGGAAAACCATTACACATGGCTCCTCAAGTGAACAATGCATGCAGTCTGTTCTAGTGGTGCGTTCCATGTCGAAAATAATGGCACTATTAAGTCCTCCAAAGGAAAATACTCCCCCACGTTGTGATCCAGTAGAACTGCCTCCGCCAATGATTAAGTCGTCATTGTACTCGATTATGTCAGACTATGAGGACCGAGAGTATTTCAATTATATGATGAGCGAGATGTGAATTTTATAATAATAATGGACACATGACAACCGAAAATCTTATCTGAAAATTTAATTTGAAAATTTTACCCGAAAATGTTATCTGAATTTTTAGGTGAGAATTTTATAATAAATATTGACATGTGGCAACTGAAAATCTTATTTGAAAAGCTTATCAAAATTAATGATTTAAGTATAAAAAATAGAAAATAAATTAAAGTGAATAGTAATTGTCATTGCCCTTACCTTTTGGGGTGGAACCAAAAAAGGCAAGGTTGCCACTATTCATGTGAATAATGACAAACCTTGCCTTGCATTTGCCTTGCACTTGCCATTTGGGGTGGAGGTGCTCTTATGAACCGTATAAGCCAAACCATCCCTAAGAGTCAGGCATTCTGCAACAGTAATGGAAGTTTGTCCAATTTTCTTGACACTAGCAAGCATCACATGCCCATCCCAGTTTCTAATTACAAACCCTGTAGTCGCAACCTCATTTCGAACTAAGCCGTCAAAGTTCAACTTCATCCAACCAATGGGAGGGGGCTCCCATTTAATGGAGGCAAGGAGTGATTGTTTTAAGTGGTGGTGAGAATTTTCCTTCTAGTAATTCACCCTAATATGACTTGCCACATTCAACACTCTAGCAGGGTGAGGGGAAATATCTTGGAAAATCTTAAGGATTCTAGCTTCCCAAATTTGCAAACAAAGAAGGAGAATTTTAGAGAGGTTGTCAAGGCCTTGCTGGTGGAAAGTGTTAGGAGTATTTTTTTAGCCAATGTAACATATCCAAAGGTGGGGGAGAGTTTGCTGGAAGAAGGGTCGTGGTGTGCCAAACACTTAAGGCAAACAGGCATTCTAGGAAGAGGTGGTTAATGGTTTTAATCTAATTCAAGCACAAAGGGGCATTCAGGGTTAAGATGAGGGAGGAATTTGTAGAGATGGCTTCTAACTTGTAATCTTTTATAGATCAACAACCAAGAAAAGAGTTTAACCTTAGGGGGCAAAGTAATCCCTTACATTTTCTTCAACAGGGTAGCTTGGGGGTGGGATAAATTATCCTGCACTTGAACATTGTAAGCACTTTTTATTGAAAACTTTCCATTGGGGATAGGACCCCAGACTAATTGATCATTCAAAGAGGAGAAAGGAATCAAGATTGTAAGACTTTTTTCAGTAATGTCTTCATAAAAAATTTCTTTCAACTTTCCTTTTTTCCAAAGATTGATTAATGATAAAATCTGAAACCTATTAGTATCAATATCACCTCTTTGGGTAAAAGGAGTCAAGTCGATAAGTGAGAAGGTTTTTTCTTGAGAGTTAAGAAGCAATCTCTTCTAAGATATTTTTTAACAACAATTTGTGCCCACCAATTAGAGTGGTCAGTTAGATAGATCCAACCCAGCTTTAGCTAGAGCAGCATGATTGAAAAGAGAAAGATATCTCACACCAAGAACCCCCATGTCTTTAGGAAGGCAAGCATCCTTCCGAGCCACAGTTGGAACCTTAGTGGAAGATCTCCACACAAAAAAAAATCGTTAGCAACTAATGTTCATTTCTTTACTAACTTCCTTAGGACATTTAAAGCAAGATAAGGTATGATTAGGGATTCCATAAACACTAGACTTGATCAAGGTCAGTCGACCAACCCTAGAAAAGGTTTGGGCTTTTCAACTAGGAGAGGAAAACAGCCTTACATTAGACTTAGAAGAAAGAGCTAGACGATTGAACCGTCTAATGTTTGCTATGGCCACTCCTATGGCAATTAGAAATATAATTAATATGTTGGATTCCTTTTCCAAATCCTGAGGACTTCATATCAATCTGCATAAATTTACTGTCTATTTTCTAGGAATGTTCCTACTAATGTGAGAACAAATTTGAGTACTTTGCTTCAAATTCAGCCTAAAGCTACCGTAGGGTGTTATTTAGGCATCAATAATATTGTTTTTTTGGAAAGACCCTCTCAATTAATGCTAAGCTTATGATTTTGTCACACCAGGTGCGGTAAAAACCAAATTGAATGGTACACCTCAAGGTCATTTTTTTCGCGTCCAGAGGCATTCGACCACAAGAGTCATTCTTACGTTTGAAATCATTGAATAACTTGTGCGCAATTAATAACAGGACTCGCCCCGAAATTCCTCGGAAAATAAGGACGGATCCCGTCGTGTTGCTAACATTACCTCGATGCCGGGCCCACTTACTAAAAACCGAGACTTTCTACCAAAATTTTGGCAGAGTCTCCTCTGTAAACTGCACAAACCCAACAGAATTCAACCTACATAATATGCATAATAATCCCAACCAGCAGCATGCTTTCAGCATTCAACATTGCACACTAAAATGGCCTCCGGCCTCACAAGTAAAACCTAACATGGGCAGTAACAGAGCATCTAACAGATTTTATTTACACAACCAATTAAGTAGGAAGAAATAACTCAAAGCCTAACTACTGATGTTCCCAATGCAGAGCCTCGAACACAGCTAGCAGCTCTCCTTGAGTGACTACTGTCTGGAGGACGCAAAACAGAAAACATGTGAGTGGACAAAAAATAAAGTTTACATTTAAAACAACATAATAACCCCACCGTGTAATAATAATGCTCAAGACATGCAAATTCATAACATATATATATATATATATATATACACCAAACCATTAATCTCTGAAATCCTTTTAAAACCAAAATCACTCAATCCATAAACCTTAGCCCCAACAAGTATACTACTCTTACCAAATCACCCCATATGCTTTAACGACTTTTGTCACCCATACATACATATATATATATATATATATAACTATACATATACATAATACTTATCACACTACTTAGGTACAGGGGAAACAATCCAACCGGGGGATTGTTTGGCTAGCTTGCAAGATTTCCAGGTGTTATCCTGCGTCTAGGGATGAGTGGTCCAACCAGGGGACAAAACTCCATAGCTCACACGCCGGAACTTCCAACGCCACCTATAGCTCCAATACTAAGTCCTACGAGCGCAAACTACATCATCACACACCGGAACTACCAACGCCATGTGTGATGATCCCAAGCAATAAACATACACTTCCTATACGCCGAAAATACCAACGCCACGTATGGGAAGTGTCTTACACGCCAAAGCTACCAACGCCACGTGTGGGAAGCCTAGTAACAAGGGGTGGTACTTACATAGTGTAATCATACAACTTCTCTCAACAACCCATCATACTCACTTCCTTCCACAATCTCACCTCAACAACCCAAGTACCCCACACATTGACATTATAGCTAGAATTTCCCAAAATCCATATACACATACTCACGATACTCAAATATGTCCAAACCCAAAATATATTGCCAAAGCTTATAAGAACATCAAATTCAACAACCGAATATATATTATATCCCATATACCATTTAAAACATATCCATAAACCTTTCATCAATAAAACCATGCGTATGATTGAAAACAAAGTCCAGTCACAAATAGTCCCAAGCTGCTCGACCCTGAGAAGGTCCCGCCTGCTGTGTACGATCGATCGGAGCACTTATTTCAAGATATGAACCCTTAATTAATATAAAATCACTTCAAAACGGAAATCTCAAATTAAATACCTAAATCCCCAAGTTCCCAGTGCATGTACGTAGAACAAAATATCCTAAGGTCCGACTACGGGTTAGGAATTACATCTTGCAGGTGTGGTCCGAAAGGGACGGTCGGAAACCACACTTCTAATTATTGAATCGAAACATCTAAGGCTCCGATTCACAATCCGCGAAATCCTACACGATCCTAGGAGTACCTAGATCAACATACTTTAATTTGGAAATGATCCAATAGTTAGAACCTATCGAACCCAGATAACATACAATATGTGAAATCCGTTCGATAGTCAAACGACGTCCGAATTGAAATCTGAGCACACCTACGCTAGTGATGCATATAGTTCAACGACAATTAGAAAGGTGGTCAAGAACGTAGCACATGCAAAATATACGCCAAGCATGGCAAGTCAAGCTCACGCCAAAGAAAACGCTTAAGCAAATATCAAAGCAGCATACAATTTGTCCATGGAAAGCAAAATTCTCAAGCAATTCCAATGACAAGCAAATTCTCCCTAAAAAAATGCAAAAGGATTCAAGCATGCAGAGCATGCATTCTGTCAATTTCTATTTCCACAAGATGGGAGAAAAGTCCATATTTAATCAAGCATTTGTTCACAAGAAAAACAAGCCTAGGCCAAGATATCAGTTTATATCTATTCCTACAGAGTTAAAAAGAAGGATTTGAGATTCCAGCAAACGAGCAGAGCTACTTACCAAGAGAACAAGATGGAAGTCTAAATGCTCAAGTTATGAAGATGCGTTCAAAGCTTCCAACAGTAGGGAATACGACGCAGGCTTCCGACACCTTCCCCTACCTGTGCCAGAGACGTATACACCTACATAGAAAAAACGCATCATGCAAAGTTCAGCCTTTTCACCAGCTCAAAAAAGGGCCACCACATGATAAAAAGGGGGAAGAAAAATGGAGAAAAGAAAAGGATGCAATCCATACCAACGATTTCTTCTCACAAAGTTCGCACTCTTCCAACAGCTTGCCAAAAAGAAAGAAATCAGAAAGGGGATAACCCTAAAAATTGACGCAAACCCTTCCTTGCTGACGATTACTCTAACAAAAGATGGATGGGTCAAAAGGAGTAGGTGCTTAGCTGCCAAAACAAAACCCATGGGCATGAAGAACCCAACAATCCCCTCAATAGATTCAAGAAATTGAAACAAAAAAGTGCATACCTTGTTAATCCCCTTAAATGATAGCCTCATATGCACCAAAAAAGAAGGAATTTGGAATTTTGCAAGAAAAGTCTGCACATAAACAATCTCATCCAGCAATAGCAAGTGGTTTTCTTCATGTGAGGAATAACGGAATTGGGTTTGGCTTGAGCTCCCTTCCAATGGTTGTAGACATGCAGTTCTTCTTGATCTCACTCACTCTCTCTCGCTCTGAGTTCATTAGAGGAAGAAAAGGAAAAAGAAGATGAAGGTGATAGGGAGAGGGTTACTCTGGTAAGCGTAAGGAGGAAGGAGAAGAAGGAAGAAATAATAAATATAAAAGAAGAAGGAGGAAGTGGGTATCTGGGAAACCACAAAGGAGCTTATGAAATTGATTTTTGGGTCGAGTTTAATTATTCGGCCCATTCTAGCACTTATCCATGGCCCTAATAATTAAGGGAGCTAATGTTAAGGCCCAAAAATTCAGGGTTGGGCCCAAATAAATTCTTGGCCCAGTGCGACACCTTATTAAGAAAAGACCCGGTTCGGAGCACACGAAATTCTTCATGCACGCTTTCACGAGCTACGACCACGTGCCAAGCCAAATAAATATGCAATTTATCACACTAAGAATTAAAATGAACCTATCAAAGGCATTGGCTCTACAAGCCCATGCTAATTATTCCGTCAAGCACTATGTCTCCCTTCAAAGCGACAAAATTCAAGCACGCCAAGCGACATGCAATGCCAAGCAAAAATCATTAT